GGCAGGGCTTCCGCTGAGCTGGGGGAAAATGGCCTTTCCAAAGGGGAATGCAGGCAGTGACTTCGGAAGGACCCTTCGGAAGGGTCCTTCCGAGGCCACCACCGGCATTTTCCCCCAGCTGAGCAGCGGGGCTTCGAAGTCCCGCCGCTCCGCTGGGGGGAAATTGGGCTATGGGGAAAAATCGCAAACCGATTTTTCCCCATAGTCAACATCGCAATACGGTGGCAAAAGCGATCGCAAAATCCACATTGGTATGCGGATTCGTCGTTAAACGGGGCACTCATTAAGCGAGGCACCACTGTATATGTTTGTTTTGATGTAATTAGTGTGGTTTTTGTTGATTTTCTAAATACCATTCGTGAGCCAGCTTGGGTCCCTTCAGCAGGCAAAAGGTGGCATAAAAATGAAACAATAAATGAAATAAACCAGTGATCCAGATCTGAAGTATCTTATTTGGAAAATGGGGCACTTCAGTACCCACGGAATTTTCACAGAAGCATTTGGCATTGTCAGAAGCAATTTTTGGCATGATGGCAAAATACATGATAGAGCTGTCCCTTTTGGAGTAAAAAGGTCATATTCATTGGAGTCCCATGTTTGTACCAGAACCTGTGCTTATGCAAATAGATGCTTGCTTTTCATTATACAATCCACATTTTAAATATCTATTTAAGAATAAAACATCAAACATTTGTGTTCCTTTCACTCATGAAAAGTTCTATTTTTACTTTGTAGGGATGAAAGTCCATGGAAACCAAGTTTTCTGCAAAACATGATAGAAGACAGAACGGAATCTGCCTTATCATACTATGAATTTCTTTTGCATATTCAGCAGCAAGTTAATAAATGAGTCCCTTTGTTACAGAATTCATCTACTCAAAGGAACTTTCCTGCGTAAAAAACATTTGTGCTTGTATGCTCCTGTTTTGACCTTATGCAGTTGATAAGACTCTCACTGTGATTTTCCAAGAACAGAAAAGGAAAAGCAAATAAAGGACCACTGAATCTTAAGTACACTATTGTGTAGTTGTACATTAAATAATTAAAATCAATTTGAACATGTTGGATGCCTTTAATTTGCTGCAAAATGTTTCGTTGTAACTAGTTGCATCATGAGTGATAAAGGTAATACAGTACTGAGAAAGAGGATCCTTTATAAACTTCCTTTTTTTTGCTCAAAATGTTTATAACTATATTTTTGTTTTTCTGCTTTATGGTTTGCTGCTAGAGTTAAAACCTCCCAAGACTGAGTTGCAGGGAAATGACATCAATTTGATTATGAAATACATCACTAATTAATAATAAAATATTTAAAGGAGGAATGAAACAGATCATTGTAAAATGAACAAAATAACTCAGAATTTGTAATGAACTCAGTTTCTAGTGCTTTTAAAAACATTAAGATGAGCAGGAGTAAAAATGAAATGGTCTAGCTGGATTGTAAGTGAATATAAAATAATCCATATTGAAACCTTTAGAATGTTTCACTATTCTAGTACCTGAAAAGAAAAATAAACGTTTCATTATATCAAATGAGAATTTAATCAAGCGGCTGACACAGCTTCAGAAATGCTAAACTTGGATCCTGGTCTTGGATGTTAACTTGGTGTGTGTAGTCTTAAGTCATTAAAAGTAAATAGGGGAACAGACAGTACAACCAGACATCATGATCTTTGTTTATAAATTGTGTTTGATTCAATTAAAGTCAACTTTTTATAATGAGTTCAGGTTTTTTATAGAAATACGCTCACTGATGGCACTATAAGCCATAATTCTTACAATGTTAGAAAAGCTGTTGATTAGGTTGCAGGAAATCCAAAGCATCTAATTAAATAGCTTTGTTTCCACTTAAAATTGTTTGGGGTGGGATAGGGAACTTCTTTTGGCTTTAATAGAAAGTTTCCTGAAATCCTGGTCTAGGCCAGAAAAATCAGATACTGCATGCAGGATGAATAAGTTTTAATCATACTTTGGAAATTACTGTGAATTAAATCATGACAAATAGTATTTGTTTTTTTAATGATTTCTCTATGTATATTGCATACAAGCCACCTGCATTAGTAATACTGTAACATTCATTATGTAACTTGTGGCTGTCATAATTTCTACTCCCTCACCACCACCTCCGTCTCCCAAGAACAGTAAATTCAAAATATTTTTCTATTGCACTTTTTGTTTTTCCTTTTGTGCAATAATTCTTTGCAGCCATTTTCACCTACAAGTGATTTAACTGAAGTTTCTTCAATACCAGACATGGGTAGATATTTTCTGTACAAAAAGTCACTGAAATTAAGGAGTTGTAGTGTTTATATACTAATGTTTCAGATCAGAAAAGCAGCTTCCTACATGCAATCTGTCAGAGGGGTCTATGAAAAGTGACTTACAGAATGGTTTCTTTCATGTTTAGAAAGTGGAAGATCTGTCTGAAAAAGTGATTGATGTGGCTGTTGAATTCAAAATGGCAAAGCAAAATTGTGTTCTGTTAAACTGAAGCACCTTCTCTGTGATGTCATTGTTTCTAAATCTTTAATTTCGTTATTTAATAACAATTCTTTATATCAATAACAACACTCTAGGAGCATATTGTCACAGTAAGATACACACTTTTATAATGGAGATCATATACTGGGTGCCTCATGTTACATCGTAAGCTCCAGTACTAATACGTTAATAGCATTTTAGTGACCCTTCTAAACAAAAGTGTACATAGTTGTACCATTCTGCCAAGAACATTCCGTCAACAGAAAGAAGCTTCTGTGTATTGATTACCTTTCTGATTCTGGTTTATATGTGAACAGACACTGTGGAGGTAAAAATAATCCAGTACTGTACATCTTGATGGATATTTTTTTCTCCTTGCTTCATGTACTTAATACTGAATAGATAGGCATTGTCAGGCGTGATGCTGCTCCTTGTGTTGAGAATTCCAGATACTTAAGCACCATACCCAACATTATCTTGCATACAGAGATCTTTTCCTTGGGGTGGGTGGATGTGGCATAACTTTAAGACAGCATAATGAGCTCAACTAGTTACCTGAATCTTATTCAAGGATACATCCCTAAATGCCATCTCAAGTTAGTTAACAGTGAGTATATTATATTGTCTATTATACTGGCTAGAATGCTTTTTGGAATGTTCATACTCCTTTTGCAATATTGTTTTTTTTCTAATTTTTATTCCTTGTGATGAGGAAAAATGACATCTGGTTCAACCTGTACGATTTTTAATAATAGGCATTGCAGAGCCGAGCCAGGTGTAAAACTGCCTGTGCTATACTTTCAAGTAACAGCTCTCTGTTTTAAGAATTCTGACAACTTGAGTAGGTGAGAGTGACCCAGATATTTCCATCTTAGCATGGCACTCCACAGCAGATGTTCTCTATTTTTCTAGTTCAAAATTTTTAAAGAACAATTCAGCATGATTGACCAAGATATTCAACTCAGTTGGGCATCAGCATTTTAATTAGCATTTAAGTTTCTGTAATAAGTTACATTGCAATCAATTTTGACTGTTTTGCAATAATGAAGATATAAAACTTTCAAAGTTAACAGGATACATATGATTAGAAACAGAATGTTAAGGGACCATCAGATGTGACAAACTTTCTGTTCACCAGTTAGAGATTAAATCCTTGTAGTAAATTTGATTTGTAAAGTAGTGTAAAATACTGTAATATTAATCCTTGTTTTCTGAACTCAAGACATTGATCTTCAGTGTGAAATTGTAACCATGCTCTTCTGAATTGGAGGCAAGGTTTTACTTGTTCCCCTTTTTACAGTTTGTAATTTTCACTGTTTTATTCCTGTAAAAAGTCATTTGTAACACATGCAAATGCTTATTTTAGCTGTGCTAATTTATCAGATTTGGCTACTCAATAAAATTAATTGAAAGAGCTTACATACATTTCATCAGTCGTTTCCATAAACAAGTTGGGCCTAATGTGAATATCTTGGCTGCTTATTTAATGGGTGCAGTGCTCCAAAGTAGAATGTGTATTTGTAATTAATAAAATTACATAATGACAAATATTTATTACAAACTTTATATGTACAGGCAGCAGCGATTGGGAGGTAAGCACATAAATACATTTTTGTGCTGGGGAACCAAATAGTTACTGACTTCTAATGCTGAAGTTTTATCCCTAAACCCCATTGAATTCAGTGAGATTTACTTCTTAATAAAGATATAAAATCATACTATCAGTGTATTTTAGTTTACTAATTAAAATGTCAACTTCTAGTTTTTAACTACAGAGATACTCTGGGACCCTCCAAAAATGCAGGTGCAATCAATTCACTGTATGTGGATTAAATACAGAAAATTTTGCCCATTATTCACATCCAGCTCAGATAATATGTCTGAATAAATACAGTACCACTGAATTTTGCATAATGGAGAAGGTCTTCCTGTGTATTGGGTTTTCCCTCTCATATAATCATCTTATAATTTTTAACGGCAGAGCTGGAAGAGACCTTATCAATGACTGCGTAGTCCCAGTCAAGGAGGCACAGTGGGGAATAGAACTCTCGACCTCTGGCTCCTATCTAAACTACTGAGCTATCCAGCATTTGCACTAAAAAGGGTAGAGAACCAATAAGAACTAGCTGGTGAGTTAACTTCTAGCCAGTTCCCTTCTTACTTTTTTCACTTAGATGTCGTCTTCTAAATCTAAACCCAGACCACATACCTTCCTTTTTTATTATTATTATTCAGATCCCTTCAGGACCAGGTAACACCTGCTGTTTAGAGGGCTGGTATTTTCCTACAGATCAGGAGAATCCTGATCATGAACCTGATATTATTCCAGACAAAGGAACAACATCTGTCTTGTGCTCCTGGTAGTCTGTCGGACTCCTTACAGTGGACCCTCTAGGCTGCAGACTGAAAAGTCTGTAGGTTGAGTCTATGCACTGAAAACTGATTAATCCCATAACTGGACGTTTTTGTTCCGTTTTTGTTCCATTTTTTTTTTCTCATCTGTAGGTTGATTCTCCGGCTGCAAGTCGAAACTAAATTTTGCGGCCAGAGAAGTCTGTAACTTGAAAAGTCTGTAAGTCGAGGGTCTACTGTAGTTGCAAGGCAACCCAGACATGCTCCAGCTTGCCAACTGAAATGGATAAGGGAGGGGAGAGGCTTAGCAAGGCACCAATTGATTGAATAGATTAAACAGTGGGGCTTCATTCTCCCCTTATCATTATGGATGAAGCCTCTAACAAATCACTTAGAATTCTGGAATTAAAATGCCCTGTGATTTCTAAGCCAGAGGAATACCCGTGGGGGGGACGGGGACGGGACTTCCTTAGTGAACCAGCTGCCTCTTCATCCCCAAGCAGTCAAATTAAAAAAAATACAACCTATAAATCGCAGTACTAGAGGGTATCCTGAAATGCCTGAAGGACAAAAGAGCAGAGGCAATAATTTAAAAGATCACAAGTCCCCTCACCACCAGGGCCTCTGCTGCCACTACCACCATCATGTATGAGATGAAACCCTTGGTTAAACTGCAGAACTGCAGTCAAGGCTCTGCTCATGATCTGAGTTTGATCCCGACAGCTTGAGGTAGCCAGCTCAAGGTTGACTCAGCCTTCAATTTTTCCAAGGTCAGTAAAAAGAGTACCCCGTTCACTGGGGGAGGGGGCAAAGTGTTCCTTGCATAATTACATTGTAATATCCCTAAGGACAAGAGCTTTCAGTCAAAACTTCAGACACGACTGTTCTCTGCCCTCTGCAAGTCTCCAAATAAAATAGAGCCACTGAAGAGCACCAGGACCAGACCTACTACCACCACCTTTGGTATCCATCTGCCAACATTCAAGCCATCAAACAAGAATGGTGGTTGCTTGTGTCTGAGAGTAAATTGTGTGGCATCTAAGCTACTATCTTCAACATCAAAAAACCATAAGATCATGGCCACTGGCCCCATCGCCTCATGGCAAATAGAAGGGGAAGATATGGAGGCAGTGACAGATTTTACCTTCTTGGGCTCCATGATCACTGCAGATGGTGACAGCAGCCATGAAATCAAAAGACGCCTGCTTGTTGGGAGGAAAGCGATGACAAACCTAGAGAAGCATCTTAAAAAGCAGAGACATCAGCTTGCAGACAAAGGTCCGCATAGTCAAAACTATGGTTTTTCCAGTAGTGATGTATGGAAGTGAGAGCTGGACCATGAAGACTGGCCAGCGAAGAAGTGATGCTTTTGAATTGTGGTGCTGGAGGAGGCTCTTGAGAGTCCCCTGGACTGCATGGAGAACAAACCTATCCATTCTGAAGGAAATCAATCCAGAGTGCTCCCTGGAAGGACACATCGGAAAGCTGAGGCTCCAATACTTTGGCCATCTCATGAGAAGAGAAGACTCCCTGGAAAAGACCCTGATGTTGGGCAAGGGTGAAGGCAAGAGGAGAAGGGGACGACAGAAGACGATATAGTTGGACAGTGTCATTGAAGCTACCAACATGAATTTGACCCCACTCTGGGAGGCAGTGGAAGACAGGAAGGCCTGGTATGCTCTGGTCCATGGGGTCACGAAGAGTCAGACATGACTTAACGACTAAACAACACCGAAGCTACAATCTGCTGTTAATATAATTCTGGAGAGGCCTTGAGGAGTTTATTAAAGTATTTTCAAAGGCTTTCATGGCTGGGATCTGATGGTTGTTATAGGTTTTTTAAGCTTGTTTGGCCATGTTCTGGAGGTTTTTCTTCCTAACGTTTCTGCAGTCTCTACGGCTGGGGGGCGTCTTCAGAGGACAGTAGTTAGAACCAGAACACAGATGGAGTTCTAACTCTTGTCCTCTGAAGATGCCAGCCACAAAGACTGGTAAAACGTTATGAAGAAAAACCTCCAGAACATGACAAAACAGCCTGAAAAACCTACAACAACCATCAGTTTATTAAAGCCTTGTCTGTGTGTATGTTCTTGTAATGATTTATTTGCAAAAGGAAAGGAGCTTGTTTTTTTGACATATAATTGAAGGCCAACTACTAAAAAACAAAAGAATGAAAGATGTGTGGGGAAAATGTTATTACACCTTAATGACTAATGCATTTATTTTAGTGTGAGCTTTTTTATATCAAATTTTGCAAAATCTACTTCCTCATTTTGTGCACTGTAGCAGGTGACCAGTCTAGCCCTTTCTGGAACAAAATGTTATGAATGTACCCACAGTGCTGTTCACTCTCCACAGGATTAAGTATACAGGAAGTATTTATTTATTTGATTCTATACCGTCCATCTGGCTGCAAGGCCCTCCGGGCAGTTTACAACATAATAAAACAATTCTAAAAAATCAACATAGTGGTTATATAAAAATCAAATCAAAATCAACATATACAATCCTAAATAACCAAATCAACATCACCACAATTAATTTAACAGACAAGATGGCAAAGCAAAAATAAACACTGAGACTGCCGCTGCATTATCATGATGTTGTCTCTTGATAAGCCTGCTTGAAAATCCATAAGGGATTGTTTGAAGGTTCCCAGAGAAGGGGCCAGTTGGATTTCAGGTGGGAGTTTGTCTCAGAGGTGGGGGGCGAACACCAAAAAGGCCCAGTTGTGAGACAGGAGGCGAGAGCGGTATCCCACTCACCAGAGTGCCATCCCACCTCCATACTGCAGAGAAGGAAGTGCAAACCCAACCTGCCTTACCCCACAAAAAAGGACAGAACAGTGAGGAACAGAAACAGAGCAGACAGAAAGAGGAATACAAAAATTAACCATTGAAAGGGTTCAGGGGGAAACAGTGGAAATGGAACAGAAGAAGAGGGTGGAGATAGAGGCAGGGACTGCAGGTATAAAAAGAGGGGAAGAGCAGTTACCGCCAGGCTGGGAATGGGTTTGGATGGAAGACCCATGGACTGGTGCGTGGAAAAGGCTAAGAGTGCCCAAGGAGGAGGCAGATTATAGGAAGAGAAGGGAGATCCCTCCACGGCCTTCTTACTGGGGAGAGGCAAAGGCCAAAGAGTGGAGGAGGAAGCTGTGAGAGAAGAAGGAGAGAGTAGAGAGAGAAAGGAGAAAGAGGCTGGAATGGAATGTGAATAAAATGAGGAGGAAGGACTTGAGGGAGGACCCTGGAAGACTCCCACACGCCAAAGATGTCTTGTATGGGTTGACAGCTGGGGTGACGAGACCGCCCTTGCTGGAAGGTGAAATGGGACATACAGTGAACCCAACGTGTGGGTTGACAGCTGGGGTGATGAGACCGTGCCCTTGCTGAAAGGTGAAATGGGACATACAGTGAACCCAAACATCTTGGTGGACTGGCCGTGTCCATGGAACTCCAGTGAGAAGAACCTGTTCCAGGATGATGAATGGAAGCCCCTTCCCAACCAGTTCTCCGGAGGAGAAAGACACTGGAACCACTTCTTGGACACAGGTTATTTGTTAAACACACCAATAAATATTTCACCTGTTTCTAAAAAACAGAAATCTCCTGATTTCTTTGAACCAAGGAAGGAGCCTAGGATCGAACCCTCACACCAGTTTCTAGTCTTCTTTTTCTGGGCCTCTGGCGGGGTCACTAATCTCAACCGCCCTGTCTGAGAGGATCAAGTAGGTTGGGCAGATCTCAGTATGGAGCCTCCTCCAACGCCTCCTTGGAAGTCCTACTATGATCAATGAAGCTTTCTCCCAATTAAGTGTATATATATGACTTTAGGATACATGTCTTAAACTATGGTATTATTTCTTGGGGATGGCCCAAGATACTTTGTTGCCTGAGGCAGAGCAGCAAATAATGTCCCATAACCATTTCAAGGCACCCAATAACTAAAACCAAGCAACTTCTTTTGGTATAAACACCAGACGTTCCCATAAGCATCCCTCCCTATCCCCAGCAATAAAACTACAAGAACAAGTCAATAATAATCCTCTGCTCTTTCATGACACCCAAGACCTGCTGCCTGAGGTGGTTCCGCTTATTGGTCGACCAGGCCCTGTTTTCACTGTTTCGGGGTAAATTTTGAAGATAGAGAGTGTGCTACTCTCATGCAGCCTTTCCCTTTTCCCATGGGCTTAGCCAAGGAAAGCAGAACCGTCTCTCTCTACACTCAGCGTGGAGACCATTATGACCAACGCCGCCTTCGCTGCATGAGGTCATGCATTCCCTCTGCTCCTCTTGCGGCAACGCCCTCCTTCCCACCCCCACTTACTTCCTCAGAGAGGCCGCATTTGCCATCTTTGTTAGTGGCACCGGTTGACCACGGCCTCTGGTCTCAAGCCACCGCCCCGCGGGAGAGCCGTCGTGGGAAACGCGTGCTGTCAGCCCTCCTCCAAAATGGCGCCGCCCGTTTCACCCTTTGGGGGCGGGACCTAAAATGGCGGGGGTGGCGCCTGCGCGTTAATGGATGGCTGTCAGAGCGGGGCCTGGCTGTACCTATTGTGTGCCCGCCGGGAGGAAGCGTTGAAGGGTTGCTGCTTTATTGGTGGGGAATGGAGCCGGACCTTCTGGAGGGAGAGGGCAGCAGCCCTGAGGGAGCTGCCGGGGCGGCTGTCTCCTCCGCATCGGCCACCGGACTCACCGCCTCTCAGCGCCGGGCTGAGATTCGCCGGAGGAAGCTGCTGATGAACTCGGAAGAGCGCATCAACCGAATAATGGGTTTCCATCGGCCGAAAGCGGGTGAGGCCGAGGCGTGGCTCTGGGCGGGGAGGGGAAGAGCTTCTGGCTGCGAGGGGCATTTCCCCACCTCGCCAAGAGGGCAGCGGGGCACCCGTTATCCGGTATCGCGGCCGAAAGCCCCCATTGTAGGCGCCCCGTCGGCCAGCTCGCCTGCTCCGCCAAGAGGCAGCGAGGGGGATGGGTCCACGCCCGGCAGGGACACAGGCTCGCTCGCGAGACTAACACGCGGAATCGGGCCTCCGAAAATTAGTCGAAATGCGGTTTATCGTAGCAAGGCTGTCTTTTCGGGTGCCCCCCCTCCCTGGGGTCTTTTGCATACTCTGGAACTCCCTCCCACGGGAAGCCAGGCGGGACCCATCTTTGCTGCCTTTCCACGAGCAGGCGAAGCCCTTTCTCTTCAGGCAAGGCTTTCCTCAGTGACTGGCTACCCCAGGGTGGTCTTTTTAGAGGGGCTGTTATCCGTCGCTGCTCTGACTGGGTTTTTAGTATTGCTTGTGCTTGGCATTTCTTAGAGTGGTATTTGTTTCATCTTTTTTAGTATTTGTATACTCAGTGTTGTTAGCTTTAAATGCTGTCTTTTAATGATGTGAGCTGCCTTGGGCCCTTTTTAAGGAGAAAGGCAGGGAAAAAAATATTTTAAATGAATGCATGTGCTAGGGGACAAGAATTGTGGGTTCAAATGATGGTGCTTGAGGCTTCTCTTTTCTACACCTGTAAGCCACTCTGGTGCTTCAAGGAGTGTTTGTACAGTATATGTACCGTAGTCATTCCCTTTTCTCTGGGAAGTATTGGGGAGAAAATATGCTTTTTACATGGCTAGATAAGAGCAGTTTTTGATTTTACCACGTTAGAGTAGTCTAAAGTTTTGTTTTCCTGAGTTTGCCGTTGTTATGAAAGAGCCTTGGAAAAGTATGACATGAAGACCACTTTCAAATATTTTGTTTCCCCAACAATGCGATCACCAAACAGAGAAGTGTAGTGGGATTTACCTCATGAAAGAGATGCCCGTTGTCCAGGCACTGCCATTGCCTTTGGCGCGGATTTTGTACCCCAGGGTATTTTCCAGTCGTGCTCATCTTGCTGGCACTGCAATGTTTGCAGTACAGGAGCTCAAAACAGTTGGTCCAGCAGCTCAAGGATGTCAGGGATGCTTCAGGGAAGCTGGTAACTTGAAGTGCCCTGGGGTTCTCGGGAAATGGGTCTAGGACCAGTTTTGTAATTTCTTCATTTGAGATCAAGTGGATTTGATAAAGTACTTCAGGATAGCCTGTACTGTAGTCATCCTTTTAATGAGTCTGTTATAGACCTTGGCCAAAGAAGAAACAGCAAATACACTTTGCATTTCAGAAACATTAATACTGTAGTAGCATTTCTAATTTTCCCTTGCATTTTTTCTTCTGCTATTTGTGACCACAAATTTTGACTTTGAAAATATATTGTTTCTCCTCTTAATTCTGTCACACACAAACTGTGTGTAAATCTGTAAAGACGCAGATTTCCTTTCCGTTTTTGTTTATCTCATCTGAAAATCTTTTATGTTAACATGGGTAAGTTGTGATATTTGACCCGATTAACTTATTGTTATGATGTTTAATAGATTACTGGTACATACTGAAAACAATGAATTCTTGAAGTAAAATGGCAAGGAAGCTTTTTCAGTGTATCACGTTAGCCTACATGGGTGAAATCTAATGCAGGCTTCTTTTGTGACCAAGGGCAGTTGATTTTTTTCTTACTGTTTTGCAGTATGAAGCAACTGATACTCAAATCTTCATGTCAGAAAAATGTAATGAGTGCCACATATTGCTTACAAAATGGCCTTGCTTCATGTTTTAAAAATGTTTTAAATAAAAAATTAATGTATTTTCAAATGTTGAAACCAATTAAAATGCAATAAAATTAATTAATAATGTAATAAACAATAACATATTTCATGATAATCCCCAGGAGCCATTGGCAAAGTTACAGCTGTTATTTCCACTGGAAGAAGCATCCCCAAATGGAGTTCTGCTCAAAACCCTTTTGCTAGCAGAACTGGAGAGGCAACCTTGCTGATTCCCTCACCTTCTGCAGTCCACAATGCCACTTTCCATCAGTTCTAGGGGGGTCCCAATCCTCTGAAATAAATTTTCAAAGGATTGGAAGGTGAGAAGGAATCTGAAGATTGCCAGGTCAACCCTTAAGCCAGCACAAAAGTTAAGTCTACTGCTGAATGAAAACCTTTTGTCCTCAGGAGGCTTTCTGCTGGATCCAAGTCAATTATCTTTATTAAAAAAAATTTTGTAAAAATTCTGGGAGAAAGGCAGCATGTAAATGAAATAAATAAAATTTTCAAGGGCATGATGGTGATTGGGATGGGAAGAAGGGCAGTCACTGGAGTCACCTCAGTTTGTTCAATTCCTGTTTCACCTCTCTTAAGATCTTGAACACCAACCTAATAGTTGATATACATCTTCCCCTCCATCTCTCTCCTTCAGATGATGACAGCCATTCAGAATCTAAGCTTCAACTGGAACAAGATAAGCCAAGCCCTCTTCTAGCTCCAGTTTCCAAGCGAGTCGTGCTTGGGGATACTGTATGCAGCTTGGCTGGAACAGCTGACCATGCAAGCGGTGGGGTGGAGAAAAAGGACTTGTTTAGCAAAGTTCCTGAGGCTGGTAGTGATGGCACCAGTGAGCTCCGACAACGCAGTAGAGGGGATCTGATGGAAGTTCCACAACGAGCATCTCGGCATGGGTTGGAGCAGTATTTATCAAGGTTTGATGAAGCTATGAAGCTCAGAAGCCAGCTGATGAGTGAGAAACCAAGCCAGGAAAATGGAAGTGCTGTAGAGGAATTTGATTCTTTCCGCATTTTTAGATTAGTAGGATGCGCACTCCTTGCCATTGGAGTTAGAGCTTTTGTGTGCAAATACTTGGTGAGTAAACAAATAAGAATTGCATTTTCAATACCTTTGTTCCTACTTGCTCATTTTAGTGACAGCCCTGTAAGACAGCTTGCATTCACAAGTGTGGTATCTTGAGAAATTACAATTTTGCCAAGCTCAATCAATGCGTTCATGGCTAAATGAAAAGTTGGATTCAGTCCAAATGTTGTCCTTTCTTCTACAGTGGATTGCCCCAAGAAGTAGTTCTTAAGGATAACACTGAAGTCTGTACTTCAAGCACTCCTTGTACTGAGGATGTAATGATTATCTGAAGGCCCACATTATTGTTCAAGTAACAAGAGAATCAGAACCACAGAAAGTAAAAATAAACTTTGGCTTAAAATATTTGCTATTTTACATGAACTATCTGAAAGACTTCATAAGAAAGATACCTTTTCCTGAAACTAGATACATTGTGATCCTTAATTACTGATTTCTAATTTATATAACTTTTATTTTTTCCACAGTCAATATTTGCTCCCTTTCTTACCTTACAGCTTGCATTCATGGGGTTGTCCAAGTACTTTCCAAAGGTAAGAGCTAAAATACCTGTAGAAAGCCCAATTCTAAAATAATCTTGGATTATATACAGTGTAATCGAACGCGGCATTGTAGCATATAGTGTATTACTCTCTACATTTGGCTGTAGAATGGCTGAAAGCCACAAATAGAATAGGCTCATTGAATCAGTGGGGATTTGGTGGGTCAGCTCCTCTGTAACTTTCATTGACTCATTGTGCCTACTCTAATTGTGACTTACTACTGGATTTTAGCAAGTACATTTCATTCGGACTTAATTCTGATCACTGCTTCTTCTTTATGGACTTAGTCTGGGGTGAGCAATGTCCATGGGTGGGCTGGGGCTCTGTAACCAAATTTGTAACTGTCTTGCTGAAACTATAAAACAAGATGTGAAGTGACCACATATGAATCTTGTTTCCAGAAACACAATTTGGCTTTCAAACAAGGCACACACTCTTTTGTTGCCTTATTGGAAAGATATTATTGCTTGGATTTACCACCATCATATTTCTGCAGTGTGGCAGCATAATTTAAGGACAGGGGCCAAGAGTGGCTGCAAAAACAGATGTGATCGTATGTTGATTTATGCATTAGATCAGTCGTTCTCAACCTTGAGCTCCAAGATGTTCTTGGATTAAAACTCCCGGAAGCCTTCACCACTAGCTATGCTGCCCAAGATTTCTGAAAGTTGTAGTCCAAGAACATCTGGAGACCCAAGGTTGGGAGCCACTGCACTAGGTTGCCCTGGCCAAGCAGACACAGTTTGCATACAAATCTGGTAAGCTTTCATCACTTGCAGAAATTAGATATTCAAGAAGAAGCAGATTGTCATATCCTGAGGTGGGAAACTGGTGTACATACTGTTGTCTGCTATAGTGAGTGCATCAATAAAGTGGTCCAAAAAAGAAAGGTGAGAACATAGATCAGGCCCACAGTCATTCATTTTGTATCACTTTAAAGAACTGAAGAACTGGAATACTGAAATGTGTGTAAAACTCTGCTCACCCAAAGAATAAACCTCTGTGTCTTCTGCTTGTTTGTTAGAAAAAGTCTGTGGAACAACCACTATTTATTTCAAAAATAGTCTGTGATCTAAAACAGAAAAGAAGTAAATATTTCCAGGGAAATAACATATTGACACCAGAGTGATATAGTAAAAAGCCAGGTCTTAATTTGCTTGCGGAAGCTCAGGAAGGTGGGGGCCAGTTGCACCTCCATAGGAAGAGAGTTCCAGAGTAAAGCGGCCACTGCTGAAAAGGCCGGTTTCTGCGTGATGCCTTCTGGGCCTCTTTTGGATTGGCCACTTGGCACATTAAAGACTGGGAGGTACAGGTGGGACATGAGGATGACCTAAGGGAGAGGCGCTCTGACAGGTAGCAAGGTCTTAGACTGTAAAGGGCTTCCAGATAAGTGGTTGTTGCAAAGCAGACTGTTTAAAAACATTTCACAGATCTTCTTAGAGGCATAAGAGAAGTTCTTCTGAATTCAACAGGTCTCTTTGTCCATAGGTACATTGGATTGCATCTGGTTTGTAAATGGAAAGATTCTTAACAGTAGTTTGTCATTTTCCTGCTATTCATGCAACCAAAGGTAGAATGCTAGGATCTCTGTGTTAAGACTTATTCTCTCTTAGTTTCACTTTTCACTTTTTTGCATTGTACAAAGCACTTCTGGATAATTTTAGTTGGACATGTTGGCCAGGTATTTTATATTTGTGCCTGTACACTATTAAATAAATTGGAACTGTTTTTGGTCTTCCACAATTCAATACATCAACTCAGAAGTAAGCTCCATTCTATTTTTCAAATTTCCTTTCAGGAAAATGTGGTTAGTATTGCAGTCCTACTGTACAGATGACATATTACTGTATTTTTCCGTTTATAAGACTATACTTTTGTCTAAAATCTTTAGATTAAAAATTGAGGGTCGTCTTATACATGGATGTAAGCTGAGGAGAGAACAAAAACAAGTGGAGGGGAAATCAGGGATCAAAGCAATCCATTTCCCCTACACTTGCTAATCCCCACTTAGATTTCTTAATTTTGGATTAGAAAAGTGAGGGGGGGGTCTTATACATGGAAAAATACTGTATGATATTTTCAGCTAACTTTCTTTTGCATCTTTTTGTTCTTTTGCTGTTTCACCCTAGCTTCCACTGCACTGCTTATATCCTAACAAATAGAGGCAAAATGCCAGATGCTGGTATCCATGAGCCAATTGAGTGGTGCTGAGGGGACCAGTGTCCCCCATAGTACAGATAACTTGACAGACTTATGTTACAAAATTTTGGAGCAAGGAAAAACTTTTGTGATGTTCTTTAGCTCAAATGTCTTTATTACCTCATTGCTTTGGCTCTGGTCCTGACCTAAGTTATGAAGGAAAATAATCCTAAAATTGACCTTGTGAGCAAGACCAAATGACTATGAGGATTTAAAGAGCCACCATTGCAAAAACTTAAGACAAAACTCTGAATTGTAGTTTTCTCTGGGGAGAAACTCTTCCAGGGGATTAATGGTTCAGTGGTTTAGGCATCTGGTTGTGGAACCAGAGGTTTGGGAGCTTGATCTTCCGCTGTGCCTCCTTGACAAGGGCTGGACTCGATGAAACATAGGGGGAGATGTCCTAGCTTTGAAAGATAACTGACACATTATGTTACTGCATGTCTATTGAAATGGGTCTATCTTGTATGCGCACTGTGAAATTAACACATTAAGATTCAGATAATATGCTATAAGATAAAAGCTGAAAATATTTTTTCCTCTCTTTTTCTTGTGCAGAGTGAGAAGAAGACAAAGACTACAGTATTAACTGCTGCTCTGTTACTGTCTGGAATCCCTGCAGAAGTGATTAGTCGTTCCATGGACACTTACAGCAAAATGGGGGATGTCTTTACAGACCTCTGTATCTACTTCTTTACTTTCATCTTCTGCCATGAACTGCTTGTGTTTTTTGGTTCAGAGGTGCCATGATAGTCATGGAACTCAGTCTGATAACTTCAACAGGACTGCTTCAGTCTTGATTTCATACATGCCTCTGGATGTATCTATATATAAACAGGGTTATACCTTCATTCAACTCTTAACTTGTTTCAGTGTAGTGTGAATGCACTTCTGAAGGTGGAAGGGCATGCTCCTAGCCTTTAAGTTGAATAAGAACTGCTTAGGATGGTGCACAGTGATCTCAGATATCATTCCAAGAGTGGAGCCTTTCTGTTGAAGGCATCATTTAAATCTTGCTCTTTGTTGTGAAAATATAGGGTGACTGAGGTGCTGTGCTTGGCAGAATCTGCATTAGACCTTGTGGCTTGGACCCAGAATTCCTATGACTGGAGCTCCCAATGGAATGCTCCTGTTGGAGGAAAGGTAAACAGGCAACTTCCACCGGTTCTGCCTTCCCCCTGTACCTTCTGAAGAGCTATGCTTTGGAAGCAAGAGGGACCTTCTGGAACACTGTGGGAAGGGGTGCAGGAAGGAGGGGAAATTAGTGAAACATGCCTCCTCTCCTTTTCCTTCATCAGGAATCACTGCTGGATCTTAATCCCTTCTGTGGATGGAAGGAGACCCTTTCTGTTTCCTTTGCAGATAACAAACTCTAGATCCAGTCAGAGGAATTTTCTAGGGACTAGTAATATATATGTCCGTCCACCCCCCACTGAAATAGTCCGACAGAAATATTGTCAACCATCAAGACATCTGTGACAGAATTATAATATAAAGTAATAATGATTTTGTAACAGAATTAGACTTGTTGGAGCTCATCACATAAGTCTTTGCTTGACAGTGGTGGTATTTTGTTTGCTTTATAATAATTGGGAAGGAATGACAGTAGTAAAATCCAGCCCAGGTTCCCACTGAGTATTCATTAATTGAATTGGAATATTTATTACTTGTGTTTACATGATTTTATGTAATGAGCTGCATTAAGTGAACACTGCAGATTAAAAAGTGTTCTTGAGTAATTAGACTTTTTGTACCTAACGATATCACCAGTCTTGCTAATGCCTCTGTTTTTTCAAGGGCTTCCTGCTTTATGTCTTTGAGAAAGAGATACTTATGAATGGTTTAACTACCTTTAATGTTGCTTGGTAGCATTACATGTATCAATAAGATGGTTTCTTGGTGTAGTACAAAGGGGTGTTTAACTCCAATTTTAATTACTGTTAATTTCTATGCATTCTGATTGATAAAGTATGATTCACAGAAGATACTCGGTTCACAAGAGAATGCTGACTTTGAAATATGTGCTGCTAATGGGTTCTTACAATGTACCTGAATTAATTATCTGACGTCTCTTCCATTGAAATCAGTAAGACAGTTCCAAATGAATGTTTATGCCAGTTCCTGAAGGAATCTGTGCTTTGGGAGGTATCCTAATCAAATCTTTGCTTGGACAGAATTGAGTTCATATACTTGGAGAAAGGTTAAGCAAGTTGTCACTCACACATTTTTCCTTCCACGTCTCCTTAGTAAATCACAATTATTGTACATTATTAAATTTGACATATTTTATCACTTGAACCTTCCCTGAATATTACTGTGTGACTAGAGCAAGAGCTGGTGCAGATACAACACTGAACCACAATGAAGAGGTTGCATACCCACAGCTCTTCTTTCTTGTGTGATATTTTCTCCTTTATTTACTCTGGTTCAGTGCTATGTGTGATGGTCACCATCCCTGGCTAAGGGTGCTTCAGAACTCCGGGTACAGAACCTCGCAACCCCAGCATCTGGCTCTGTGTTATTCAGCACCAGGTCTTAGGTATTTAATGAGAGATGAGATTATGCTGGAATACTTCCTATTCCTTGGTGAGACGGCAGATTTTCCCATGACTCTTAAAGATTTAGAGGTATCTAGTATTTAATTCGCCTGTCTAAGTTTTAGCAATGAAAATGTTACTATGCGCATACTGTAATTATACAGATTAAAATGATTTCTTGTTTTAGATTTAAAGGTGTTTTTCTGTTGGGCAGTAAAATTGGTTTTTTGCTAATGGTAGATAATGGATATTTATTTTTAATTTCTTGCACTATAAATTTTAATACTGCAGTCATTGAATTGAATTTCATTATTGTAGTTACATCTTTAACATTAGAAGAATGTTCTGGAATTGGGTCCATAAAAGGAGCATGAGTGTCCCAGAGAGAAGTGTGTGCAGTGCTGAAACTCTGGTGTTTTTGCCACTTCAGTTCTTCCTGCTAAAAGCAAGATTGTGCACAGTTTGAAAAGCAGGAGACATTGTGGGTATAAAGCAAACAAAAGCTCTAGCTACATTTTGAATCTGTCTGTGCATATGTTTAATTCTCCTTTAGATTTTGATATGTTCTATTGTATTCAGTAGGGTTTACACTACAATAAATATCAACATACTGTATGTTCTGACATATACAGAAAAAAATAGTCTCTTACGATCTAAGTTGTCTTTTCCATGTTGAAAGTTCTTACTGGAAATCACTATACAAACATCAATTCTCTTGAAACCAACGTCATGTTTAAAATTCTGTGAGCAGCTATCATGGAGCTCTTATTAGAAATCTTCAAGAATGCCTGAGCCTTTATCATTCCAAACAAATAGTCTTATTTTCTAAAGTTAACATTATGGGGATAAATAGAAGTGCCAGTCCCAACAAGAGTAGACCCATTGAATTAATAGAACTTATGCACGTATTGACTTAAGTAGGGCACATTAATTCAGTCAGTCTACTCTGGTGAGAATAAGCATCGCGTAGGATTTAGCTCATGATTGTTAGTATGAAAAATCATGTCCTTTAAACTGGCACATCTGAATTCCTGTAATCAAATCAAAATCATCTTGTGATCTAGATGTAAAAACAACATCTGGGTTGGGTAATTCACTAAAAACCTATAAACTAGGAGAGCTTCTGGGTCTTCAAGGACTCTCCTTGAAATGTAGACATTACAAAAATTGGGGGACAGGAAGAAGCAGAAGCTCTCTGAAGTCTTAACAAGTGCCTCTATCTGTTATGCCGTTGAAAGCAGAATGGCACAGCAAGATGGAGGTTGGAGATCCAGTACAAGGAATGGTGTCAAGATATCTGCTTACAGTCTCCTCTCTCCTCCCTGTAGACAAAGAAACTCTAAGAAGGTATCCTGGCACCTTTCATATGCATTGGACCTGCAATTTCCATTTCATTTTGCTAATCTGCTTTCAATAGATTTGCTGGACTCAATGACTTTTTGTTTCTTCCTCAGTCTTCCAACTTTAATAACATATTTGAAAAAGAGTCTTCAAAAGCACACCCTGATTACAATTTTTCAGTGATCCATTAGAAGTACTACTTGTCCTGGACATCTGAACTCCTGTAATTTCAATTTGCCAAGATGGACTTCTAAACAAAGTACTATGAATCTTTAATTGGATCTTTTCCCCTTTAAAGTAGCATATGTTTAGAATATAGCAAATTCCTGTAAAAAACCCTTTTCTGCTGTGAAGTGACTTACAAGATGGAATGATCTCTGTATATGTTCCCTTTTACAAAAACTGGAGCTCCTCTGTGCAATGAACCTCATGTGGTCATTCGTATATGTTCTTCAATGTAATTTATTTCTACACTGGTTTCATTAAATATAATAAACTTACATTTGTTGCCACCTTATGTTCTAGCACTAAATGAATATTCAGTAAAAAAATCGCTTTGTTAGAAAGTGATGGGTTGTTGAATAATTTGCTGGTCTTTTCAGTTTTCATAGGAGTATATTACCATTTATGGAACATAAGAAGAGCCTTTCTGGATCAGGCCGAGGGCCCATCTGGTCCAGCTTCCTGTATCTCACAGTGGCCCTACCAGATGCCTCTGGGAGCACATGAGACAACTGCCGATGGTTACCTGTCTCCTGATACTCTTCCCCTGCATCTGGCATTTTGAGGAAAAATGTCATGTCTGGGAATATGTACTCCTGAAATTAAGTACAGTACCTCTGAAAAGTAAACTCAGCCTTTGTGTTCAGATGAGATGCCTGCCTCTTAATTTCCTCCATATCTTAGATGTAGAATTACAGCTTGGAAAATTTACATTTTCATCCAGTGGCTATGCTGGATGGAGGATTCTGGGACTTGCAATCCAGAAACTACATTTTTAAGGGCTCTGTCCTGCAGGGTTCCATATTGTTGCCATGGCTAATCCCTTTTGATGGACCTAATGGCTAACCACCTACACTGGTTGAGTGGACCAAAACCCTATCTAGATCCTGCAGTCTGTTTCGATAGTGGCCAACTGAGATGCCTCTGGGACACTTGCAGGCAGGCCATGAGTGCAATAGAGCCACCCTCATGCTTTGCTTAACTGGTTTTTAGAGAATCTAAAGGAGGGTCCAGAACATTTTGTAAAAACAAATCCCATCAGCTGAAGGACCTTTGCCCTCCACCTCCTGCCAACCACACCTGATCTCTACTCAGCTTGTAACAATTTGTACATGCCCATGTTCTCGGCTGGAATCACATTCGTGAAACAAATATGGACAGAGTTTGTGACATAATTTTATTGCATAGTGGAAATGAAAGATAGGGAAAATATTAATTCTATAAGGATTAAAGTCTTCCATTAAGATAAAAACATGCCAGTCTATATGTACATCCATGTACATGTGACAAAATAGATCTACATGTAGATTGGCACACTTTTGTAAATGCCATTTCTTTCTACCATTTCCTCTTAAATGAAAGGGAAAACATTGGCTGCCACCAGACCATGTCTGTATGCTTGGAGCATCTGTACCCAATTTTAATTTAGTGATCCCTGTACTATCTCCAAATGGATTCCCTGTTTAATAAACAGTAACTTTTCTTTCTGCCTTAATGCTAGTTTCCAGAGTACTGTAGTTAATTCTCTTCAATTGCCATGTTTAGCAGTAGGCCTTTGTCAGCATAATTACCCATAATCTTAACACCAGCAAATTTGAAAAATAGCATCACTGTTCCTAGTTGTTAATTTCCTTTAAGAAAATGTGAGCACTTAAGCTTTCGCATCATGGTGCCCTCTAGGTGTCTTGGGCTACAATGCCCACCATCCAGACATCATTCGCCATGTGAGCTACAGTGATGGAGGTTTGTGAGGGTTTGTTATTAGCCTCCAACTTTTGTTCAAATAAACCAAGAGTCGCTTTTAATCCAACATTCAAACTTGTGTTTAATTCTCTCGTCAATGGCATAACATCTCTCAGCGGGTCATTTTGTAACTTCTCTTGCAATACCAATGGCCTCGCAAGGGCAACCATAAATCAGAGTCAAAAGGGTACAGGGATTTAACTTCCCAAGGTCCTGAAACAAAGGGGTCATAACTGGGAACTTCGACTTCAGTTCCTTCTTCCCTCAATAGCGGTAGTGTCTCATCGTCTCCGTCTTCTCTCCATATCGGGTCTCCCTCTCCCGTAAAGTGCCCCACAGTCCCGGAGGTGCATCCTCCTCCTTGCCTCCTCCACTCGCCATGCCCAACGTGCCTTGGCCTCCCTCGCCACCGCCTCTTTCTCCTCTCTCAGTTGTCTCCTCCCCTCCCGTGCCTCGGATTCACCCCAGTACGATGGTCTCTGGGGTAGCCCCTGTCTACGGCAGTAATCTGCCTCTTCCCGGGGCACCTTTACCTTTTCGCATCTCCCCGTCCATGGGTCTTCCACCCAGATGAGTTCCTAACCCCCCCCCAGTATGTTATCATGGTCCCTATTTATAATCCCCATTCCCACCTCCACTACGGACCTCCCCTTCTCTTTTCCCGCCAATCCCCACTCTGTTTACGTTGTCACAGTCAGACTCCGCAGATTCGTTTCCAGCTCCCAGGTGTCTATCCCCTGGTGTATCTTTCTTGGAGGGGTTGGCGGCAGAGTGGTCTGTACCTCTTGGGATGTCTTACCTGGGGATGGCACTCTGACGAGAGCCTCTCTATGCTCTCATCCCGCTTATCACGAGGTTGTAATCCAATACATGTGGGTCTATTTAAAAAAGCAAGAGGGAAACTGGCAGGGTACTATCTGCCTCTTGTCTTCCCACTGGCACAGATTGTTTGCCACATTTGGACTCAGAGTGCACCTTTGTGGGTGTTCAGTTACCACAAGTAAACTAAAGTGGGTGTAATGGCATTAGAAATCAAAGTGGCAATAGTCATTCTGAGATTAGTTCAAATACATTTTGCAATATAAACTCACTTCCAGTCTTCTGTGTGGTATGTCTGCTGTGAATGCAAGTAGTAGTATATAGATGTACATTAGTCCAGGTTGATGCCATCGCCTTAGATAGGTTAGGGAAGAATAGACCACATTTTTGGCCCCTTTTATGAAATGTGCCTTCTTCCAGTCTTCTGTGTGGTTTGTCTGCTGTGAATGCAAGTAGTATATAGATGCACATTAGTCCAGGACGGTTGATGCCATCGCCTTAGATAGGGAAGAATAGACCGCATTTTTGGCCCCTTTTATGAAATGTGCCTCTGTTTTTATCTTTCAACTTAACCCGGCTTGGACTCTGGAGAAATGCTTCCACCCTCAGTAAACGGAGCAAAGGCATGGACCATAGGCCGTGGAAACCTGCTCAAAGATCAAGAACAGAACCTGTGGCTTAACAAGGTCTATGGATAGTACTTTGCTCACACGTCTCTCTGTATTCACAACAGAATCAATAATTTTAAAAAAATCATTGGGTCTGCCAAATGGTTCGGCCTTTGACTCCTAGTTAGCCCTGTCCAGACTGGTGAAGGAAGAGTGACTGCAGGAATCTATGGGGTCAAAGGTTTCCAAGTTAAATCACCGGGATGCTACATCAGAGGGCAGCTGGTGAAGGAAGAGTGACTGCAGGAATCTATGTGGTCAAAGGTTTGTTTCCAAGTCAAATCACCGGGATGCTACATCAGAGGGCAGCAAATTATGAAAGAAAAAGATGCAAGACAATTCATTACTACTGTATTTACATTTTGCCTGTGTTTTCAGAGGAGCATTGTTCTGTAATTATTCAAGCTGGCGGCTTACAAATTAATGCAAAAAGCTTGGCTATTGGTGAACATGTTACAATTTAAGTAGAGTAGCAAATCAAAGGAATGTGTGCACTTTCCTCAGAGCAACGCAGCCGAGCCCAACACGGTTCACGACGCTTTGGAGCCGACGAACTTCGCGGCTCGGACGAAGCCACACTTCGCTCCTCCGAACGCAAGAGGCCGCTGTGGTTCCGGCTCGAGGAAAGGACGAGCGCGGCGCCTCCTTCCGCCTTTCTGCGGACGTCGGCTCATTTCCGCTTCGTTGATCCCTTCGGAAATGGCTGCGGTCGTCGCAGAGCTTTGAGGGGAATCGGGCAGAACGACGAGGTGTCGGTTCGCGGTTGGTCGGAGCCGCCATGGGACGGGAGTCCAGGTAAGCGAGAGAGTGGTCTCTGGCGCGGCCCCCTTGGTCTTTCCTGGGTGAAGGGGGCCGAGTGAACGGGCAAACCCGGCTCTCGGGGGGGAGGCCCCTGTGGCGAGGAGGCCGGCGCTTTGTGAGGGGAGCTGAGAGGCCGCCGGGTGGGTCTTTGGAGGCCTGCGGTTCCCTTGGAGGTAAAGGGTGAGATACTTTGTCGCAGTTCAGAGGCGGACTGCCGTTTATTTTAAAGAAGCCTCTGTTAGACTATGGCGGGAGGGGGCTGCCCTTCAGTAAACAAAAAATTTAAAAAACATCCAGAGGCTGACTGTCCGTGTTAAATAGAGCAGAATTTGGGCTCCCCCCCCCGCTCTCTTTTATACATCTTGTTTTCTGCTTCTCTGGAGTGATTGAGGGCACCTTCCTCATGGAATGATTCTGCTTTGGTTTCAGAACCCACTTCGCCCTCAGCTAACAATAACTATGATTTAATTGATCCCTGGATGTTGTCAAAATACTGTTTCCCCGAAAATAATACAGGGTCGTATATTAATTTATGTTCCCAAAAAAAGCATTTAAGGCTTATTTTCATGGAATGTTCGATTTTTTTCATGTACAACAATCTTTGTTCAAAAAAAAAAGCATTAGGGCTTATTTTCAGGGGATGTTCGATTTTTTTCATGTACAACAATCTACATTTATTCAAATCCAGTCATGTCATCTTTTTTGGTTGCTGCACAATGGTGGAGTGTGGGGTTTCACTTAACTAGGGCTTATTTTTGGGGTAGGGTTTATATTTCAAGCATCCTTAAAAAAAATCATACTACGGCGTATTTTCAGGTTAGGTCTTATTTTCGGGAAAACAGGGTAGGACTTCAGTTGAGGAAGTGTAGCTGCCGTTTTCCCCCATATAAGTTAAAAATGACACATAATGGTACCACTCTGCCATATTGTGCCTTTGCAATGTTAGCTCAAGAACCGCTTGTCACATATATGTCTTGTCTGCTTGTTATTTTCTAATTTGCTGTTACCATATTGTGACATTAAGACAGTTAAGTAAATTAATATTTTGTCTTCTGTCTGCCTAGTATAACTTGTACATTACTTGTAGAGTTATGAACAACAGACATAGCATAATTATTCACATATGTAGGAAGAATCATTCAACCAAGTTCACCAGAATGTTGCCAGACTGGAAACGTAACTCAAAGTGAATGTGTACTTGAGTTTCAAGCTCAAAACACAAGACACATTGCAGGATTAGGGGTTTTTTTTCTTTTAAATGTGTGACTGTTGCTAAATTAATGTGTTATTCTTGTTATCCAATATTAGACAAAGAGTATAGACTCTGTTCATGCTTATTGTAGTTCCAGAGGAAGCAGGAAGCATGGCTAGCAGTCCCATGGGTTGAATCCAGATAATTGTCTGTGTGCCTCTGCCTGAGTTTTTGGGAAACACCCATCCTCACAACAGCTATGCCATATTTCAAGATACTCTAACCCAGAGATTCCCAGCTTTGGGTAAACCAGGTGTAACTCCCAGAAACTCCAGTCAGCACAGCTAATAAAGATGTCTGGGAATTGCACTCCAGGAATACCTGGGTTACCTAAGGTTGGGAACTACTGCTCTGATTGTTTGTGTAGCATCGCATGGGTGGATGTGAATGGATAGTTTGTTTCTGCCAGCCCATTTCCAAGCACCAAAATCTGGATATATTTAGGAATCCAAATCTGGGTTGATTTTTTAATCATTTATTGTTGTGCAAAGACATGAAAAGCTATGTTTAAAATGCACAGTGTATCACGTGTGATCATTGTATGTGTTTTTGTCTTGTTTCATCTTCAAATGTGTACATATGCTGGATGTATTTAATAATCAGTCTGTGTATTTTTGTTCCTGGGAATTCAGAGCTGATAGACTTGATTGTTGTATAATAGGTATGGGTGGAGCCTGGTCTCAAGGCAAATGAATTCCCCATTTGATAAATTTCATGACTCTTTGCTATATGGAGAAAAAATCTTTACTGTCATAGTGCACACTTTGGATACATTGTGATAGCTTGCACAAAAAAATAGGCTGGGTATGGAGAAAAATTCTTCACTGTCATAGTGCACACTTTGGATACATTAAAAATAGCACTGTGATAGCTTGCACAAAAAAATAGGCTGGGAAAAGTCTAGTATTGCATGTCACAACCTTGGTCCATTTGTGTCAGGCAATTTATGAAAGAATTAATGCTGATATCAGAAGCTGATTTAGTAGAAAGTACTACTTCACTGATCTAATCTCTCTCATTTTCTTAGATCAACAAAGCAACAGTTGTCCAAACAAAAACAGTGAGTTAATTTATTTAAAATAATAGTTTCTATTTCATAAATGTACTGTGTGAATGGCTGCATTAGTTAAATAGTTCCAGTTGCTTTCAGAATATATAGATATGAAATCTAGTTTAGATATTCATCAGGGGTGTTTTGGCTACTTTTAGTTCCAGTCTAATAATTTCCTGCTGAAAGTTAAGTGCAATTATAGTGAAGGAAGCTGTAGTCTTGAAAGTTCTCCTTGTTTTTAGTGTTAGCAATATTCTAGTGTTAGAAACTCTAAGCAAGAGTATAAAATAGAATTTTATTTGTAAATAGCTATTTATTCCCTTCACCCTATGCTTATGTTTTTGATGTATTATACTTAATCAGCCATGATTACATTTTACAGTTTCCATGGTTCTTTGGGAATTTATTAGCACATTTTATATATTAAGTTCATTGTTCTTTCTAATATACTTGATGCATAGTAGAGATAAATTACATTCCTTGACCGCAAATTCATGAGTATTTCTCCAGAGTGGTTTTGATTTAAATAATTATTTAAATCAATTTGATGCAAATTCATGAGTATTTCTCCAGAGTGGATTTAATTATTAAAATAATTATTTAAATCAATTTGATTTTTAAAAAATCATTGATTTTTATCTACTCTGTTTTTTATGTAAAATACTTTTCCTTATTGGACTGTATATTCTATCCTTCCATTTTGAAGTATGTGCACACATATTGTCTCAAAGACCCTGATGTTAGGAAAGTATGAGGGCAAGAGGAGAAGGGGACGACAGAGGATGAGATGGGTGGTCAGTATCACCGAAGCTAGCAACATGAATTTGACCCAACTCCAGGAGGCAATGGAAGACAGGAGGGCCTGGTGTGCTCTGGTCCATGGGGTCATGAAGAGTTGGAAATGACTAAAGAAACAACAAAGTGGCACCTAGAACAGGCACATTGGAATCAATAGAATCTGTGCAATAATTGACTCACCAAATTCCCACTGATTTAGTGGGCTTACTCTAATGTGACGTACTGTACTAAGCAATAAGCAGGACTTGAAAAATCCACTCTTCTGTGATGAGTAAAAAAAATGCTGCTTGAGGAGCCCCAGCTCCCTCTGTCCCTCGCCTCCCTACCCTCTGTCCATCTCTCTCTGATCCTGCAGTCCTCCCCTCCCCCTTCCCATTGCAAAAGGAAAAATAGCCCTCTTCTTCTGAGAAGAGAATTCAGGCAGCACATAGAGATATAGCTCTGCAGGAGAACGTAGAGTAGTCCCATGCTGGAGAATATGGAAATTCCCTGCTCCCAATTTCAACCCAACGATCTGGCTCCTTAAGAGGCTGGGCGCTTTTGCTTTCAGTTTTGTTTTTGCTGGAGACATTCAAAAGAAAGGCATACAGACTACAAGCTTCATGACCCCACAGGCACGCAGGTAATAAAGCAACCCAAGTCTGAGGGTATATTTATTTTGGGTTTGTATGCATTGTTATGTAGAAAGTGCCTAGTCTAAATTTAAATTTAAGTTTAAACATAAATTGCAAGGCTATACTGTAGTCCGATCATGCTGACTGGTGAAATTTTTGACTGAATGATGAGACATTCTAAAAATTTTCAAGCCCTGGCAATAAGCTTTGAGCCACTGATTGAGAATCAATAGTATGTCACAGCTATCTATAGTAGGCCCATTGAATCTGTTTGGATGTGGTGAATCAGCATCCATGTAGGTTTCACTGATATACTGTAGTGGACTACTGTAGTTGCAATTTACTACTGGATTTTAGCCACAACATGCATTTAGTAGATTGGAAAAGTCTGAGGAATAGTAGTATATTGTTTTGCTTTTTCTTCCTTTAACCATTATTTCTTAACTTGCTTTCCTTTTGTTACTTTTATGTCTCTTTGCCTTCAGTCATGCTTCCATTTAAGTAGAAAATACTTCAAATCTGAAAATAATAGGGTTGTTAGAGACCAGAATAGGGATCTACAGAGACCCCTTCACCTGGACCATGCCTGTCATAAAGCAGACATAATGTTGGGGCTAATCTGTACTCTTTTAGGGATGCTTCAACTCAATTTGTTACTAGTCAGTGAGGTTATTTATGTTTTACGGATCTCCATGAAAAAAGCAGTTCCTCTGAGTGGGGAGAATGCAGATAGCTGTGACCTGATATGAGGATGAGGAATATATAATAACATCACTCTAATGGAAATGGTAGGTAGAAGGAATTTACTTCTGTCTGCAGGCACCCTCCTAACACTTCTGTAAAGACAAACAAGCCATGAGATTTGCACCACTGAAAAAATTGTTAGGGGAATAAAGATAGACACCAGAGCAGTGATTCTTACCTAGCCAGTCATAGCTTGTACAAGAGAAATGTTGGCACTCATCCATAGTCGCACACATTCATCCTGTCCTATCAGTAAACTATTCTTGACTAAATCTAAATAGGGTGGTGGGGAGTTCTATCATGTGAATCCTAGTTAGCAAAGACAATACTAGTCTTTCACTTCACCCTGCAGATGCATGAAATGGCTGGTAAAGCTACTGTAAGGAGATATATTGAGCGCAGTGACCTCAGTCAGAGCCTCCTTAATTGGAGTGTCCAGGGGAGATCTTGGGCTTTATTGATGGATTCAGCTGTCATTTAGATTCTGTTTTTGGTGTTACCAGCTCAGTCTTTTCAGTTTTAATTTCTTCAGTTCAAGTCATTGGGTATTAGTCCCAGAAATGTTGGATGGAACATAAAGAATTCATGAGGGTGTTGGTCCACCCTGTGGGTAACCAAGGGCACTTTGCTTCACAATGTAGTTGCCCAGGAATTGCACAAATGTCCTTGATTCAGTCCATTTTTACATATTTATCTGACAACATTGCAGAATTTTAAAAATCCAAATGTTATTATTAGCCTCTTTAACAAGTAATATTTTTTTCAATTTTTAATGAGATAAACTATCTTGGCATTCCTACAAAGAGCTCAATGTAGGATACATAGTTTGTCCCTCTCATGATTGTAATAACCCTAGGAGATAGGTTGTGAGAAAACTGCTGTCTCTTTAAGTGAGATGTGTAAGTTGTAAGCCTGGATCTTCTCATTACTAAGTCTGTACTCCCATCTGGTGCATCATACTGACTCAATAATCAAAGACCCTGTAATGAAGCTGAAGAGCAACCATGAATCTTCTTCATCTAATTATACTTAAACATCCTTTTTAAGACTATAAAATATTGGTTTATTCTTTGAGAACATACTGAGTTTATGCTCTTATTTTTGCACTGCATATCTTCATCATTCTATTGTTATGCTACCACAGGCATTATCGGAAGCGCTCTTCTTCACGTGGGCGCTCTGGTAGCCGTTCTCGGAGTCGTTCTCCATCTGACAAAAGAGTGAAACGCAATGATGATAGACGTTCTAGGAGTAGGGAAAGAGATCGCAGACGTGAGAGATCACGGAGTAGAGATAAGAGAAGATCTCGTTCACGTGACAGAAAGCGTGTGAGGTACGTGGTAAACTCTTACTGTTTGCTTTTGAAATAAACTGTTAAGAATTTATTAAATTCATAACTTCCAGTGGATGCTCAATATTTTCTTGTAATCTAAGTTGCCTGTTATGGGAAGACTGTGTAGTTGCCTGCTGGGTAGACAGCATTCTGAGTCTGTTGTTTCCATCTTTACAAGCAATAATATGTCTCGATGATTGTTCTATTTGTACAGTATTCACTTCTCTCTTCTAGAGTTCTATTTAAGTGAGTGTCTTCTTCCTCATCTCCGATGAATGATATTTCTGTAAATTAAAAAAATATTTGGACTAATACGAAAAATCCGCTTCTGTATAGGCGCTCAAGAAGTAGAGAGAGAGAACGGAGTAGAGAGAGAAGACGTTCACGTAGTCGAGAGAGAAGAAGGTCTAGAAGCCGAAGCAGAGGAAGACGGTCCAGATCTTCCAGTCCTGGCAAGAACAAAAAAGTAGAAAACAGGTAACTGATGTGCTTCTGCATATGACGTTATTCAAGTGTTCTATGAAAATAGCATGCTTGTGGTCATATTGGTGTAGGCATTGAACACTGACTTTACTTTGGAAAGAATGGGAAATTATAAATCATAAATGCACTGACTTTACTTTGGAAAGAATAGGAAATTATAAATCATAAATACACATAATGGACCATTAGTAAGCACACAGACAAGGAGAATCCAGCAGTTTCTCAAAATTTTCTTTCATGATTTCAGCAATGCAACTGAGCAGACATAGAGAGAACAAAATTAATTTTTTTCCTCCAGTAATCCCTAGTTTTATCAAGAAAACAAACACTCTTTTCCAACAACACCAGTGGCGACTCTAAACACGGACATCACCAGATGGGCAACACCGAAATCAGATTGATTATATTCTCTGCAGCCAAAGATGGAGAAGTTCTGTACAGTCAGCAAAAACAAGACCTGGAGCTGATTGTAAGCTTCTCATAGCAAAACTCAAGCTTAAACTGAAAAAAGTAGGAAAAACCAATAGCTAGTCAGGTATAATCTAAACCAAATCCCTTATGAAGACACAGTGGACGTGAAGAACAGATTTAAGGAACTCGATTTGGTGGACAGAGTGCCTGAAGTACTATGGATGGGGGCTCCTAACATTGTACAGGAGGCAGCAGCAAAACCATCCCAAAGAAAAGGAAATGCAGTAAAGCAAAGTGGCTGTCCAACGATGCCTTACAAATAGCAGAGAGGAGAAAGGAAACAAAATGCAAGGGAGATAGGGAAAGTTATAGAAAATTAAATGCGGACTTCCAAAGAATAGGAAGGAGAGACAAGAGGGCCTTCTTAAATGAACAGTGCAAATAGAGAAAAATATTAGAAAGGGAAAAACCAGAGATCTGTTCAAGAAAATAGGAGACATTAAAGGAACATTTTGTGCAAGGCTGGACATGATAAAGGACAAAAATGGTAGGGACCTATCAGAAGCAGAAGACATCAAGAAGAGGTCACAAGAATACACAGAGGAATTATTCCAGAACGATCTGGATGTCCCGGACAACCCAGACAATGAAGTTGCTGACCTTGAGCCAGACATCCTGGAGAGTGAAGTCAAGTAGGCCTTAGAAAGCATGGCTAACAACAAGGCCAGTGGAGGTGACTCCATTTCAGTGGAACTATTTAAAATCTTAAAAGATGACGCTGTTAAGGTGATACACTCAATATGCCAGCAAGTTTGGAAAACTCAACAGTGGCCAGAGGACTGGAAAAGATCAGTCTACATGCCAATCCCAAAGAAGGGCAGTGCCAAAGAATGCTCCAAAATCCTCCAAGGTAGGCTTCAGCAGTCTGTGGACCAAGAACTCCCAGAAATACAAGTTGGATTTCGAAGGGGCAGAGGAACTAGAGACCAAATTGCTAACATGCGCTGGATTATGGAGAAAGCCAGAGAGTTCCAGAAAAACATTTATTTCTGCTTCATTGACTATGCAAAAGCCTTTGACTGTGTGGACCGCAGCAAACTATAGCAAGTCCTTAAAGAAATGGGAGTGCCTGACCACCTTATCCGTCTCCTGAGAAACCTATATGTGGGACAGGAAACAACAGTTAGAACTGGATATAGAACCACTGATTGGTTTAAAATAGGGAATGGAGTACGACAAGGCTGTATATTGTCCCCCTGCTTATTTAACTTATATGCAGAATACATCATGTGAAAGGCCGGCCTGGAGGAATCTCAAACTGGAATTAAGATTGCCGGAAGAAATATCAACAACCTCCAATATGCAGATGATACCACACTGATGGCAGAAAGTGAGGAGGAATTAAAGAACCTCGTAATGAGGGTGAAAGAGGAGAGTGCAAAAAATGGTCTGAAGCTGTACATCAAAAAAACTAAGATCATGGCCACTGGTCCCATCACCTCCAGGCAAATAGTATGGAGACAGTGACAGATTTTACTTTCTTGGGCTCCATGATCACTGCAGATGGTGACAGCAGTCACGAAATTAAAAGAGGTCTGCTTCTTGGGAGGAAAGCAATGAAAAACCTAGACAGCATCTTAAAAAGCAGAGACATCAGCTTGCCGACAAAGGTCCGCATAGTCAAAGCTATGGTTTTTCCAGTAGTGATGTATGGAAGTGAGAGCTGGACCATAAAGAAGGCTGACTGCTGAAGAATTGATGCTTTTGAATTGTGGTGCTGGAGGAGACTCTTGAGAGTCCCCTGGACTGCAAGGAGAACAAACCTATCAATTCTGAAGGAAATCAACCCTGGGTGCTGTGGAAGGATTTTCTTCCTTTCATTCTAACCTTATTTTCATTCAGCTTTCTACCTGTTTCTTAATTCAGACACTTAATTTCTTAATTTCTACATTTTGAATGGTCCTTAAATCCTCTTTCTGCATTTTTAGACTAGTAGATTATAAACTCTGGGAGGCAGTGGAAGACAGGAGGACCTGGCGTGCACTAGTCCATGGGGTCACGAAGAGTCGGACACGACTTAATGACTAAACAACAATAAAAGAGTATATATGGACAGGGTTCCTTTCCCCTTCCCATGTTCTCTATCACATGCATTGCACATTCCAGGAATTCAACAGGGAAGCAGAAATTGTATCTAGATATTGTGGGGAGGCACGGCTGCAAAGGTTTATTTGGGTAAGAACACTTGCATTAACTATGGCAAGAATCTTGAGTCAAACTGCCTGCTTAGTGGATGAAGTACAGGCAGTTTACTTTTAAGATACTTGCACAGGGAGATGCTCGATCCTCCTTGTGCCAGCAAAAGCTGGCTATTTGCAGTGCAGATTTCTTTCTGTGTACTGGCAAAATTTATGCATGTTTTCAACATAAAACTAAAAACTGTACGTATATGTTGAATTTGTGAGGGGAAGTTATTCCTGGACTGGTTGTTGCTACCCTAAAAGCCTTGTTACAGATGACTGAGAGCAGACTTAAGAGGCACATGGCACTTCCAGGACAGCCTCTTTAAGTGATTTTAAATGTTATGTCACTGTTCTGGTGGAATGTTAATAGTGAACTGGTCCCCAACAGCAAGGTCACAAATCAGGTTTATCTGCGACAAACAATATTTAGTCCTTCTATGAAAAATCTAGGACTTTGGACTGAGAGGCTGCCCTGCATTGGGTTGAAGCATGCAGTTTTCACCCTGCTTATGGATTGTTCAGACTGTCATGTGCTGAGTTTCTCTCTTCCTTTATTATCCTTGCCAGAAAATGGCAGCTGTTCTCTGACCTTTCAAAAATTAAAAGTGACCTCCTTTAGAATCTGTTCCTTTTGGTCTTCTGTACTGCTGCCACTAGGCTAAGAGAAGTTGAATGAGTCCCCTTTGTTCTGTAGGTCTGCATTGTTAAAATTAAAAGCAGATGTGCTACTAATTATAAAATAATAGTCAGTTTATACAGTTAAAATAGGTAGTTATGAAAATTTATCTTATAGGTTTGTTTAATCAAGATGATTTTAAAAATCAGAAAAATCAGTTTTTTAAATCTCAGTAACATAAATTATATTACGTAAAATATGCATATGTTTGATTCAATGGGTTTTAAAGCGAACCTTATAAGATCTTATCAGCCAGAATTATTTCGAAGTTTATTGCCATGGGTCAGCTATGTGTTTAAATTTGATTTGTCCTTTTGTAGTAGAGATGTGAATAATAAAAATGCTTAAACATGATAAATAGCTTTCATCTGGAAGCGAAGTAATTTTCAGGATTATGAAAGGTGTGTGCATTTTAACATTTATTTTGAGTAGAAAGTGACTCCTTGGTAACTCTTTCAAAGAGTGATAATCATTTAGTATATACTCCTATTGCTTTTGTTATTATTGATTCACACATATGCCTGTCTTCAAGAAGATGTGAAATAAACCCTTGAGTATTACTCTTTTAAGTATTTTGGAAGTGAAATTTGTGGCTTTTGCAAAGATGAAGATTGTTGTGTTAATAAAATTAATGTATGTATGGTTGGTTGGTTGGTGTTGGTTGGTTTTCTTTGTTTTGTTTGTTTAGATTTATACTCTGCCCATTTTGTGAACATATCACTACTCTGGGTGACTTACAAAATATTAAGTGAACATACCACTGCTCTGGGCGACTTACAAAATATTATTAAAACCATTTAAAATATATAAAACACATTAAAAGAAAACAAACAAACCCTACCTATCCTGCTCCCCCAATAAAATCACCCATCTGGGACATACCCTATCCTGCTCCCCCAATAAAATCATCCATCTGGAACTTAGGATGGCAGACAATGGACCAGTATAATTTTACAGAAGGGTGGTGCTTGGGAAGGCCTATGTAAAAAGCCAGGTTTTAATTTGCTTGAGGAAGCTCAGGAGGGTGGGGACCAGTAGCACCTCCACCTCTAACTGCTTGTGAGGTTAGAGTTAGAATCCAAAAAGGCATATGCAGAGCGCTTACATGGAACAATGGCTTTTTGCAGTTAAATAATTTCCTGTTCTCACCTGATGCACACATATGAGACATTTTCTCGGCTTCATTAGGGCAGTACATGTCTGTTCATGAACTAGGGAAAGGAGGTTAAAAATGAAGCCTGTAAGCTGAATGGGAAATCACTGAAGGCCAGAAGTTTTCTTTCTTTTCCCTAAACTGCAATTGTGACCAATCAGCTTTTCTGGGTTCAGACATAAAACTAACCAGCAGTTAGTTAAAAATTTAAGTTCCATTCCTGATCTCTCTGCAGCTGTGCCAGAGGCAAAGAAGCAAGCAGGATGTCAACAAGCATAATGTTTGGTTCATTTATGTAACAGTAAGCCATCGTTCAACATTGCGTTCAAATAACATCACAGTACTTTCTGTTCACTCTACCTAAAGCCTTTCAAGAAAATCTGAAATACTTTGTCAGTCATACACAACTCTTGATACTGTGTTTCAGGTCGCGATCTAAAGAAAAGGCAGAAGGTGTGGAAGTTAACAAAGAAAAGAAAAAAGAAAAAGAGGACAAAGAAGAAGAAAAGGATAAAGATGTAAATGTATGTACAATAACAATGGTAAAGCTGAGATGCTTAGTAAAAAGCAAGGTATTCTACTAATACCATAGTTTTTCTGAAATTCTCCACAATTTTCTTAATTTTGTTATCAGATATATCACGGTTGTCTATTTTAGTTTGCTCTCTTCAGAACAGAACTGAATTTAACAGCGCACTTCACTGAGGGCTTCATGTAGGGTGTAAACTACTGAGAGTTTGCTATGATGTGAGTGGTTAATTATTGGTACTGTAAACAACATTTTAAAATATAGTACAATGAAACAATGAGATTTTTGTTGGATTCATTCTATACACAACACTCAATTTTCCAAGATTGCAGACTACTTACATTATTGTAGGTCAAATGCCAGCCACATAACAAGCATCCAGATCACTTAGTAAAGTACTTCAAATGGCAAAATATTTGTTACCTAGTTCAATACATATATGTAGATATTTTCTTCTTCCTACTGTCTTTGTTCAGATGTAAAAAACAATGGATGCCTTCTGCTCTTTCAGTCTCTTAATAATCTGTTCTTAGGTGTAATCAAATATTTGTAGCTACAATTTTACTGTTCTTTAGCTGTCAAGATGAAAGTTTTGTTTCCCAAAAGGTTATTGTCTTCAATAACTATGTTTGCCTTTGTGCTTTCATGATTCTGCATCTCTCTTTTACAAAATTATGAAATCACATTTCATTTCATTGCTTTCGCTTTCATAGAATTTTGATCAGAACAAACTAGAAGAGGAAATGAGAAAACGAAAAGAGAGAGTTGAGAAATGGAGAGAAGAACAACGCAAGAAGGCCATGGAAAATATAGGAGAACTGAAGAAAGAAATTGAGGAGATGAAGCAGGGGAAAAAATGGAGTTTGGAAGATGATGATGGTATTAACCTTATATAACTAACTGAAGAAAAAGAGACTTTGTGTTGCCGTTGAATGTGGCCCAACATGGTAGTTTATTTGGCACATTGCTTCAGATGTATTAAGCTGGGGAGCATTTAGATTGTGCAGAGCAATTGATAAGAAGATAAATCATGCTGTAGAGACATTTTGGCTATTGTTTTTCAAACATCTCATGTTAAAATATGCCCCTGCGAAATACAGTTAGAAATGCAGTAATAAGTTGCATATACACTAGGCTCATTAAATCAGTGGAATTTAGAGAGGAAATGACTTGCCAAATTCCCACTGATTCAGTGAGCTTATTTTAGTTGCAGCTTACTGCTGGATTTCAGCAATTGGGTAAAAATGGTTTAAGGAAGATAAAACAGGAGGGCGAGTCTAGTAAAGTGTGCTGCCGTAGTGCTTAAAGCACTCTTTGGGTGGTTTGCAATTTACTTAGTTTACTGACTTTGGAAGGATAGAAGGCTTAGTCAGCCTGGAGCCAGCTATCTGAGCCCACAATTGAATGCAGGTTGTGAACAGAGTCTTGACTGCAGGACTGCAGTGTAACCTTTGTGTTGTGAGGCTCCTGTTGTGCATCTCACTGAAAATCTTGCTGATACGTTGCCTTGTAAACAATGGCATATAAAAATGCAGACCAGGGTGGCCAAATGTAGAAAGGAAGTATAGCTTTTTTGAGAGGTATGTTGACAAAAAAAAGAAAAAAATACTGTTCTGGTGTATTCTTTAGAGGTGGATAAAGGGTAGGGGAGCATGCACAAAATCAGTAAGGCAGTTCACTCTCTATCCCATGATGTTAGAAACATGAAAAAAATGTATGTGGTGCTATAATAGCTTTCAAGCAAGAAGCATATAAATAGCAATAATTTATGCATAACAGATCTTCCAAAATCAGTCAGTCAAGTTAAGTAGAAAAAAATTGAGTCTGTTTTTATATAGAAACACATTTTAGCAAGAAGTAGCATCTCAAACACACTCTCAAGTATTATCTGATTTTGGAATTAAGACAGAATTAGTTCTGGTTAGAATCTGGATGAGAGACCACCAAATTCAGGCATGGTTAAGAAAGAATCCTGCCTGAAACTCAGGAAGGCTACAGCCAGTCAGAATTCACAGTTCTGGTTTTGATGGCTGAGTAGTTTGTATAAAACGGGAAAACCATTTAAAATCACTTGTCCCATATATAATTTCTGTTTGTACAGCTGGATGTCTCATAGAGGTAAACTTCTTTGTTTGTATTAGATGATGATGAAGAAACTGCAGAAGGAGAGAAGGAAGGCAATGAAATTGAAGACGAAGAACTGGATCCATTAGATGCATACATGGAAGAAGTGAAAGAAGAAGTCAAGAAGTTTAATATGCGAAGTGTAAAAGGTGGTGGTGGTGGTGCAAATGAAAAGGTAAATCGTTTGTCCATCGCTGTTCAGTTTACAAAGTAGAATTTTAAGCATTAATTCTAAAAGTGATGAGTTTAAAATTAATATTGTATAGAATTCTGTAGAAATATGATTTATAGTGGTTGTTAGATGGTACTATACAGTCCAAAACTAAATTCTGTAAGATTTTTATAAACATGACTTTCTCTTTTTGAAGAAATCTGGCCCAACAGTTACTAAAGTAGTAACTGTGGTGAAAACCAAGAAGGCCTCTCCAGAGACAGAAAAGAAAAAAGGGGAGCTCATGGTGAACGACCAAGATGCAATGGAGGTAATTAAAATGTGTTTGTTTATTAATTTTGCAAATGAAGTTACACTTCAGGAGCTCATTTTTTAGAAAATGCTTTGTTTTAATCATTCGCATAATCTCATTTTGTTTTGTTGATCATCTGAATGAATGTGCTGCTATTGGAACTGTGAAAATCCAGTTTCATATTGTATCTGGGATTTTTTTTTTAAATACAGCCCACTTACATTTAGTATTCTTTTAAAATGTGTAACAAGAGGAGAATGTGTTTCAGCATGGGCAGGACAGGAAGCCGTGCTGGGAATTCTGTAAAAAGTGGAGCAGCCCCACTTCCCTGTGCCCTTTGGATTTTAACCTCCAGTATTCCTCATCATTGACCATGATAGTTGAGCTGGTGGGAGTTGTTGTCTAAAACATGTTTAGAGCCCTAGGTTGAGAATTGTACCATGTAAGCCACTATTACATGGCACTGTTGCATTCCCTTGTACAACCAGCATGCCTACACTAAGAGAAAGCATAGATCCCCCCATCACTTCCTTGCAAGGTTTATAGTGGCTTTGGTTGCTATTTCCTTTGAAGCAGAGAAGGAGAGTAAAACTTCACTGGCCTGGTTGTGAAGAAGGCACAGGTATTCTGTATATCTTGATTACAGAGTTATTACACAGTTTTTGAACAGCTTCTAGACTTCTCCCTAGCTTGGGAGCTGAAGATAGCCACAGAATTGGTTATCAGAGTGCTGGTTCTAACCAATAAAGCCCTTAACAGCTTGGATGAATCTGCCCATAAAAGCTCATCAAGAGAGGCCTTTCTCTTGGTCCCACCACTCTCACAGGTATGTTTGGTGGGGAACCGGAGGAGACCTTTTCTGTTGCTGCTCCCAGACTTTGGAGCTCCCTCCCACATGAGGCCTGGCCCCTTCTTTGCTGTCCTTCCACAAGCAGGCATAGACCTTTCTCTTAAGGCAAGCCTTCCCGTAGTGAATAGCTGAGGTTTTTTAAACAAATTGTTGTACCTTACTACTTTAAATGTGATTTTGGTGCTGCTTTTCTGTTTTATTAGCATGATATTTGTTTGATCCTTTCTAGTATTTGTATAGTTACTGTTTTTAATGATGTAAGCCAACTTGGGTCATCCTTAAGGAGAAAAGCAGGGTAAAATACGGTATATTAAATAAGTAAAATGAATAAATAAAAATGCTGAGTCTGTCCTGCTGTCTGCCTCACCATTATTCAAGCTGAAAATAATGTCAGCCAGTTCTTACCTTTGTTAGAGCCAGCATAGAGAGAAAATACAGAAATCTGGTGGTTGCAGAAATGTGGGTGGCTAACTGTATGAGTTTTGTACTCAGTGAAAACACAGGTAAAAGCAGTAAATGTGTAAACCTGGAGAACAGGAAAGATTAAGCAATATAATGTCTAGTGTTGGATTCAAGGTGAAATAAATGTGTTAAACAGAAAACAGTCATCCTAAAACTTACTTTCCGTTAATGTTTAACTTCATGCTTTTATACCTGAACAGTATTCCTCTGAAGAAGAGGAAGTTGATCTTCAGACTGCACTGACAGGCTACCAGACCAAACATAGGAAATTGCTGGAACCAGTGGATCATGGGAAGATTGAATATGAGCCCTACAGGAAAAACTTCTATGTTGAAGTTCCTGAGTTAGCTAAAATGACTCAAGAAGGTAATAGCAAGTACAATCTGAAATTAGCATGCTAAATTAAGTGGAATTTCATATTTACATAAGGGGTAAGGATGAACAGCATACTGTTTAATTCCCACGTCCTTTATTTATTTATTTATTTTATTTATTTAACTTATATACCACCCACGCTACCTGATCCTTCCCCACCCCATTTGTTCTGCAGAAGTGGAAGACTGATCCTCCCGCACCCCATTTGTTCTGCAGAAGTGGAAGACTTGTCAGAAAAGGGTAGGAAGATGAGCAGGAGGCTTCTTCTCTAATCTTTTTGTGGATTCCCAAAGCCTTTGCCAAAAGAAAGTCCTTGCTTTGGTGGAAGGAATATTCTAGATGTAAATCAATAGTCTCATAAAATGTTTCTCATTTCTTTTTTCATTTATATTGTCTCATGCTACTTAGAAATCTGCTCTAGAGAATCTTTTGATTTTCAGGAGCTGTGTTTCATTGGGACACAGGTTTTTGGCTAGATTAGAAAATAAAAGGATGTCTGATAAGCCATACAGCGCATGTAGATTTTGCTGACATGGTGCTTAGGTTGTTGGTTTTGAGGTACTGTTAATGTTAATTTGTTTTTCCGTGTAAGAAAGGATGAGGTATTATGCCAAAAAGCAACTCCCTGATTTTTGGATTTCCTTCATTTGATTGGCCAGACTTCCTACTCTCTTTCTGTAAAGGCAAGAATCTGAAGTTTTTATGCAGCCAGCTTCCTGCTGTTGTAGTCTTATTGCCGTTTATGCTCCATAGAGGGTGCTTGCTGAAGAACTGCGATGCCTAGGAAACACTTTGGCAGCTTCCATGGTTGTACTTTTACAATAGGAAATATATTGGAGCTAGGCTGTGCAGCCTCCAGGACAAGGTCCTGCTCCTCGTGAGCAAAATGTAGGTGTCTGTAGGTGTTGCTAGAACTCCCAGAATTATGCCTTGAGAATTCTGGGAATTTGGAGTCAAAAATTTCTGAATGGTGCATCGTTACAGGCCATTGCATGTTATATAAGTATGCTTGTAATATAGATGCTTTTCAAAAAACATGTTGCTACAAAGGTCAGTAACGTTTGTCTATAGAAGACGTGCATCTACTAATGTGGAAACATTATTTGCATACTAACTTAAGTTTGTGTGTTGCAGAGGTGAATACCTATAGGTCAGAAATGGAAGGAATTACAGTCAAAGGTAAAGGATGTCCGAAGCCAATCAAAACCTGGGTGCAGTGTGGTATTTCTATGAAAATCTTGAATTCCCTGAAAAAGTAAGTAGAACAATACAATAAAATGCAGCTTTCATGTGTTACACATGAAATGACCTAGATAGGTTCTTGTTTGCTCTCTTACATTTGCAGCATACAGTAATGGTGGGGCTTTGTAGAAGAAATTGCCTCACGAAATATGTAATTAAGAATTAAAGAGTAGATACAGGGGATTAATTCTGATTTCTTATGTATCACCAGTTCACTAATCATACAGATTTTATGCTGTTTTTCCACAGTATCTAATATTCAGATTGTGGGAGGGGGGAACAGTTTATTTTTGCAACTGAAATGTAGGAATTGTTTAGATATAAACAGATTATTTTTGAAGATTGAAATACAGGAATTGTTCATGTTCTTAATGGTGCTTTTTATTACTTTTTTATTTCCTTAAGACATGGCTATGAAAAGCCCACCCCTATCCAGGCCCAAGCTATACCTGCAATTATGAGTGGACGTGATTTAATTGGCATTGCTAAAACAGGAAGTGGAAAGACTATTGCTTTTCTGTTGCCAATGTTCAGACACATTATGGATCAGAGATCATTAGAAGAAGGAGAAGGTCCAATAGGTATATATGATGCTATAGTATTTTATTGTGCAAATATATTTTTCAGCAAAGCAAAATGGGAATTTTGAGAGGAGACCCTTTTATGTACTGTAAATGTGTTTTACTGTTGAAACTGGTAATTTTTGTCTTCGCACAAGGAGGGGAAAATATCAGAGCTGAGGTTCAACTGCTTATATGAAGTCAGATCATCTTTCTTCATACTTCCTTTAAGTTTGCCATTACAGTATCTGTTTCAGGTGTTACACATTTCTTGAATATTTGTGTTCTGCATTGCAAGCCAGCTTTCTGTTCTTAACTCTGGAGATGCTCAGTGGGTTCCCTTGTCCTGGAGTACACAACTTATTTCTTGAGAGGTTTGATTTGCCCATGGTGGCTGGATTAGTCTAACATGTTCTACATGGGGCTGCCTCTGGAAAGTGTGTTTCTTGAGAGGTTTGATTTGCCAATGGTGGCTGAATTAGTCTAACATGCTCTACATGGGGCTGCCTCTGGAAAGTGTTCAGAAACTTCAGAGGGTCAAAAATGTCGCAGCCAGATTGTTAATGTGGGCTGGTTATAGGGAATGTATAACAGCAGTTCATGGATCATAAACCCACTGGCTGTCAATTTGTTTCTGGGCACAATTCAGAGTCCTGGTTGTAACCTATAAAGCCCTAAACAGCTTGATTGTAACCTATTAAAGCCCTAAACAGCTTGGGTCCAAGCTTTCTAAAAGACAGGATATCGCTCTATGAGCTTGCCTGGTCATTAAGATCATCCGGGTAGACCTTTCTCTGTCCCACCATCCTCACAAGCACACTTGGTGGGAGCACACGAGAGGGCCTCCTCTTTTTCCACTCCCAGATTTTGGAACTCCCTCTCATGGAAAACCAAGCTGGCCCAATCTTTGTTGTCCTTCTGCAAGCAGGCAAAGACCTTTCGTTAGTGACTGGCAGTCTGAAAGGGTCATTGAAATTGGATTCTTGTGCTCTGTTGTTTTTAAATATGTTTTTAGTATTGATTTTATTTGCTGTTTTAACTTGATATTTATTTAATTCTTTTTTTAGTATTTGTATTTTTACTGTTTTTAGCTTTTAAATGTTGTCCTTTTAATGTTGCAAGCCACATTGGGTCCTGTTAAGGAGAAAAGCAGGATAAAAATATTTTAAAGAAATAAATTGTTCTGTCCTGTGGACTTTATGTGATGCTGGTGTGAGAAGGTGTACACAGACGTGTGTGTCTGCTCACGCACGCATGCACACACACAGTCCCTTGTGGAGAAAAAGCTATTTTTATAAGGTAGAGATTGAAAATGTGCAGTGATGCTGGTATGTTGTGTCCTTTCCTTGCTGCTAAAAACAGCAAGAGTGATGGATATGAAATTAGGGAAAAATCAGTAGGATTTGATAGTGGTGAGTGGTCAGGGTATTCATGTGGGCTACCTGCAGGCAACAGGTTGTACACTGCATCTTACCTTGATACTTTTGTATATTGGATTGGAAGATAAAGGATGAAACGGGGATTGAAACCTTGAGATTGGATTCTAAATTAATCCATTGTTGCTTTTGATAAGACTTAGCATTTTCAAGGCCCTTATACAAAATGTCTAAACTTCTTCAATTAGAGACCTATGGTCCTGACTTTACCAAGAAAAAAGTTCATGAAATTAGATTTTTCAAATTAGCCGTATTTCTTTGAACACTTTCAAATTATATGAAACTGTTCATGTGTGAAATATTTTCATACCGTTGTGGAATTACAGAAGTGTGCCTTACTATTTTTATAATCTTAAGTATAATTAGAAATCACTTGCATTGAAATTGGTGGGATTTGCTTCTCTAAAAATGTTCTAGGACTAGGAGTTTTGTGAGTATAATTTTCTCCTTTGTTCTTTTCAGCTGTTATCATGACTCCTACCCGAGAACTAGCTTTACAGATTACAAAGGAGTGTAAGAAGTTCTCAAAAACTCTTGGGGTTAGAGTTGTGTGTGTATATGGAGGAACAGGAATAAGTGAACAGGTATGTAATGAGTATCAGATTCTTTTGTCTTGATCTGTGTTGCCACGACTGAAAAAATTCTGTTTGGAACACATTTTGGTTTTTGTTTTCATGTTTGGCAGCCTCTTTATAACTCAGGATACAGCTACACTGGAAATGCTGTGATTTGTGTTGCAGCCTGTGTTATGTTTGAAAGTGCAGTAAGTGCTCTCACAGGGGCTGTGGATTGAATCGGGAGTTCACCATTCATACTGAATGTGATGTGATTAATATTTCAGCTCATGTCCTCCATTTGTTCCTTCTTTCCTCTGATCCCACCACTGATACTATTATGTGACGTAAGTGAGAGAAATGATAATAAGGTGATAGAATGACCCATCACTAATCCCGTATAAGGAAGAAATGTTCTTAAAAAAATTGAAGGGCAATTGAGGGAGAGGAAAGAATGTTCCCCTGTCCTGAAAATCATGTTCCAACTGTATTACTTATGCAGAAAAACGTACCTGACTTCTTTCCACTGTAGCTGCCAGCCCTCCCAATGTTATGTGTCTGTTATGTTAAATTTTATTTAATGTCATGGTTTGTATAGCCTATGTTGACGGCAGAGCTGGCTTTACAATTTGTATAAGTATATTTTAATCTAGTTTCATATAATGAATATGCCATACTTCATACATTTTTGAGCCATAGAATGTACATAATACTTTCTAGCCCAGACCCTGCCACAAAGGGGGACAGCCTTCCAGTGATCAATTTAGTTTCAGAATGGTTGCAATATGCCTCAGAATACGGATACATCATAGTTTTTAAAGAAGTAGCTGTGTTAGTCTGTGCAAGCCTATTTCAGGAAGTGAACTTGACACTCTAAAGTTGAAAATAAAATACAGCAGATAGTCTTTAAGATACCGCAATGTTTCTGTCGTTCAGTTGTTTTTGTTTTGCTTTTTTTGTCTGACTCACTATAGTCATATTCCTGCAGACACTTTTTCCTGTGTTTCTGTCACTTTAGATGACAAAGAAACCTAATTGGATGCTGTGGGGCAACAGTCAGGAATCTTTTGCCTTCCAGATATTTGGTCTGGAACTCCCAATAGTGGCATACCGCTCACCATGGTAACTGGAACTTATGGGCGTGTAGTTGAAACATCTGGAGGGCTAGAGATTGTCCATCCCAGCTGTAGGACATGCATGGAGAGCCTTTGTAAGTGCAAGGACCATGTTGCCTTGTGGCTGCAGAAAAAAGGCTGCCTCCTAAAAAAGCCAGTGAGCCCCGAGCAGTTCGCTAAATGATCACGGTGATGGATGAGGAGCTGTGGGCTGGATTTAGCAGAATATGCCATATGTTTTCAATTAATACTGAATATTGTCGTTTTAAAAAAACTTCAACGTATCAGTATTTACAGTTGAGGATAAGGTTTTTTTGTTTGTTAAATGACAAAATGTAATAATTATTTATAGTTAGAATAACATTTTGTAGCTGTTCAGTCTTACATGGTGTACTTTGCATTTTTATAATTAGATTGCTGAGCTGAAAAGGGGTGCTGAAATAATTGTTTGCACACCGGGCCGTATGATTGATATGTTAGCAGCTAATAATGGTAAGAAAATATTTCTTTTATTATCGGTACACATTTTCCTCCATAAGTGAGTTTCCAAAATTTATGTATCTCTTGAAGCTGTGGTATCTAATATGGTGTCTTTACGTTTCCTTTGAGTTTCCACAACAATGGCTCTTTGCGTTTCCTTTTCATGCAGCTTTTGAAAATATTTTAAAGAACAAAAAATCTTGGAGAGTTTTACAGAAAGTACCTGAATTTCAGAATTGGCTGCTTAGAGATAACTGTTCAGTTCTATTCCTCATTTTGAAGTTATGTTGTTCTATCTGGTATTGTTGACACTGATGCAACATAACAGTGTATTCTTTGAAAGAAATTTAGCTCTGCCTTTTTTAATTAAGGTGACTGAACTGTTTAAAAAAATTTGAAACTTGTTGTATGGCTAATAATTTTCCTACTTGGTACAATAATTGAAAGAGATATTACAGCTTTACCATGCTTTTTACTATAATATTGCATGTTTGTCAGATAATGTTTGATGATTTATTTAAATATTGCCCTTCAACTAAACTGTCTACTAAACTGTTGACATTTGACTTCTGTGGAAAAAAATCCCTTCAAGAATTATAGAACTGGGCTTCCGAGACTAAGTCATCAAAGGTAGGTGCATCAATACTGTTCTCAAGTATTGTATACTTGGAGCTGAATGAAAGTGTTTTCCTGTTTAAATTTTTTGAGTATTGGGTTAGTAGCATGCTGTATGCATTTAGACTGGAAGAAAAAAAAATCATGTATTCACCTTGAATTATATACTATAAAATACGCATTAAAATAATAGTTTCCTGGCTGGATTTTTAAAAAATAACCTCTTGCTTAAAGATAAATAATATGGTGCCAGAGTGAGATCTAACCCATTCACATTTTGAGTCAACTTCATAATGTTGAAATGTGGGTATCACTCTTTGAGATCCTGTGAAGGTGGAGGCAGCTAGGGATGGGATTTTCAGATTTTTTGGACTACAAATCCAATAATACTCCATTTTGGGACTTTTACCTGACAGGCAAACACCTTACAGTGTGGCTCGCCTTCAACAAAGGCGTTCCCTGGAAGGCTTTGAGACTTAGCTAGCCTTAGTTCCACCTAGCTTCTTGTTCAGAAAGAAAGCTCCCAGGTAGTACTGAAACAGGAAACTTGGGTAAAGAGATGCCAGCTAAGCCTCAAAGCCTTCCAACAAAGACTTATTCCTGGGTGAGCCACATTTAATTGTCTGCAAGGTATCTGTCAGTAGAACTTCCAGAATGGAGACTTAAGGGAGTAAATATCCTATAAGGTTTCTGTTTTGAGTCAGCGTAGGTTAAGGAATGTTTCCTATTGTATTGATGAACTAGAGTGACAAAAACAGCAGTGCCAGCATTTCAAAATGCTTAGATCCTTTTTGAAGATTGTGGCAAATATTCTCTTGTGGAGATTTGTGTGCGCAGTGGTGATGTCAGCAGCAGCAGTAATCACCTCTGCTTAAAGACAATTTCAAGTACATGTGGAGGTTCATACAAGGTTCATACACAGGACAGGGAGGTTGCATGCACTCCAAAATTGTCAATTGGGACTAACAAGCCCTTAATTGGCAGCAGTTTGCTGGTGCCACTGATGAGATCACTGCACACGCAGAGTTGCATGATAGAATTTCAGCCATTAAGTTCACATAGTTCTTTAATTTTTTCGAGCTCAAGATTTCTTGTTTTAAATCCTCAAGTTGCTGTCTTCAGATTCCAAACAATATGGGGTTAGATCCCAAGGGGAAAGCACTTTCACATACTCAGGCTTATGTATGTGCATTTGCCTGATTCTCCTCGGTACATTTCAGTTGGTATCTTCTCCTTTGTTGTGCTGTATACTGCTTGCTGACCATCTAGAACACAGGTGCATATCTTGTACCTCTCTCAGTGTTGCTGAATGCAGTTCCAGTCTGGACAAAGGTACCACAACCAGTTATGAGGGATGATGATAGTTACAGTTATACTGTAGTTCAGACTTTTAAAAAAGCTGTAAGCTGTCCATTCCTGGTGTATTGTAGGGAACATGAGCTACTGCACTGAATATAAGATGAAAGGAACTTGGTTAAACATCCACTGCATGCATGGAAGTTCTTTCTGCTTGCACATGGGCTAAATCCGGTGTTAGTGCCAACTGGAGTAGAACTCTGTGTGGTTATATTACTTGGGAGTAACAGGTTCCATTCATTTTAATAGTGATTAGGCTGCTTTGAGCACATTGGAAGATATAAGTGTAACAAATAAATAAAAAATAGTAATGGTTCTGCCCTACTTGGGACTAACGTTAGATTTAGTCCAAAGGTAGATTTTCTGTAAGTACTGGGCAAAGTTTTAAGTACTGCTTTAAAGACATTTTGTGTTTGTACCTTTGAGAAATAATCTGTTATATTTTATCTTTAACAAAACCCTTTAAACTTGGATGATACGTAAGGCAAAGGACTCACTATGCTTATGTCCATTTGTCACTGCAGGTGTGATGGCAGTTTTTAAGATTATGCTGAGGTTTAAATTATGTCTGTAGATGTGGAAACTCTTGTTTAAGAATTCTATTTATACTTAGTTGCTATTCAGAAACTTACTGATGTGAGAAATTTTACTGATGAAATCTGAAAAAAATTATCGCCTTCAGTGTTTGAAACGTTCACCCCATTGTAAATATTTCAAATTGTAATCTACATGGAGACTTCTGTTAAGCTACTTCAATTAGTAATTAGTCTTTGCCTTCCACACATACGCTGTAATCTCTAATATGTTTTTTTCTAGGTGGCGCTCACAGATAATGGCTGATGTAGCTCGTTGCTTCACCTCAGTCTTAGTTTTATGATGTGTTTTGGTGAGGGCTGTTTTCTGAATTTTACAGGTTCTTCTGGCCCTGTACTGGTACGCAAGAGAAGAGTTTGGCAAAATAATTGGCCTTGTGCATCAGTACACAATTGCCAAAATGTTTGTTGTTGGAACGAAATAAGTCATTTAGTGAAACTGATTTTCTAAAATAACTACAATTTTAAACATTTGTTTAGCATTGCCCTAAACTTTAGATGCTAGTGAAACTTTACTTTTCTTTTGCTGTGTGTGGGAAAATAGTGTTTAAATTGATTCTTGTTTCCTTTTGTTTTTGCCCCCTCTCTCCTTTCCCTAGGTCGAGTGACAAATCTTCGGAGAGTGACATATGTTGTCCTTGATGAAGCTGATAGAATGTTTGATATGGGCTTTGAGCCTCAGGTGAGAACAATAAATTAATAATTTGCAGCATATTTTTGCTTAAGGCTTAAAAGGTATTATAAGTAAAACAGAGCAGTTACTGAGTTCTATCCCATGATCGATTGCTGGGAGTTTAAATCCCTATTGTCCAGAAGAGCCACCCTGTGTGGCCTTGGGCAAGCTGCACACACCTAGGGAACCCCCAGAAAAGGGACTGGTAAATCATTTCTGATTATTCTCTATCTAGAAACCCCTGAAAATGGTTCACTTAAGTCAGAACTGACTTGACAGCACACAGTTTTATTATATATTCATAATTTCACCGATTACTGTATTTTTCCGAGTATAAGATGACACTTTTGTCTAAAATCTTTAGACTAAAAATTGAGGGTCATCTTAAACATGGGAGTAAGCTGAGGAGAGAACAGAAACAAATGGAGGGGGGAATGGATCAAAGTGATCCTGCCGCACTTTGATTGCTGCTTTCCCCCTCCTTTTGTTAAGCCCTGGGCTTAGGAAGTGGTGGGGAAAGCAGCGATCAAATTTTCTAATTTGGGGTTAGAAAAGTGGGGGTTGTCTTATATATCAGAGTGCCTTATAAATGGAAAAATATGGTAACTCCATTAATATATAATTATATATTAGCCTACAAAGGAATCTATCTCCTAAAAATGCAAGACGTCTGTTTTGAAGTGGAAGTTATTTGACCTGAAGCATTTTGGCATTGTTACTTTATCCTTAAAACAGGTTATGCGCATTGTAGACAATGTAAGACCTGATCGTCAGACTGTTATGTTCTCAGCTACTTTTCCTAGAGCCATGGAGGCTTTAGCTCGTCGGATATTAAGTAAACCAATTGAGGTCCAGGTTGGTGGCAGGAGTGTTGTTTGCTCTGATGTGGAACAGCATGTGGTAAGTTAAACAACTGTACTTTCCATATCTGCTGCTTTTGTTACAGTGCCCAAAAGATAGTGTTACAGGCAAAATTCCATATTCAGCACTGTTTTATCTCAGGAATGTTTTATAGAATTTGATCTCTGAAATACATTGGCTGAAATCTTGTATGATTAGGCATAACATAAAGTTATGCCAGCAGAAGCATTCTGGGTTTTAGGCATAAGCTAACATCATTGTGCAGTTAGATGGTGCAGTTGATTGCACAGCTACCATTTTGTGGAAATGCTTTGTAAATCTCTCTTTTGCCCTACCATACTTTACCCTAATGCTACCTCAGCTTTACATTGCCATTGTGCAGCTGCACAACAGGATTTCAGCCATTGAGTTTACAGAGTAGGTTTTCAGATACCATATTTACTAGTAGCTTGCATTGTTTGGAGTAAACTGATCTGTTTAATTAATGGTGGTAGGATTTTTTTCTTCTGACAACAGGGGTGTCAGTGGAATTGGCAGTTCAGAAGGATGGTTACAGAAATCTACCACTATTCCTTTGCTAAGTCTGAGCAGCTTTTTGAATGCTATTTCAGAGTAGTAGTATAGCCCTTTTTGTGTCTCTGGTGATTGGACAGACTTTTACTCACTTGCTTAAATGCAGTGGAAACAATTTTGTAAAAGGTATAAGTAGCTGTACAAATTAAGACAGCTTTGTGGTGATTGACAAATGTATACTAAAATGTTTAAATCATATGTGCTTACTATAGTTTAGTTGGGTTCTAGTTAAAGAAAATTCCACTGTCTCCCTCAACTGTGTTGTTCTTTCAGATTGTCATAGAGGAAGAGAACAAGTTCTTGAAGTTACTTGAATTACTAGGACATTATCAGGAAAAAGGATCAGTCATTATATTTGTAGATAAGCAAGAACATGCTGATGGATTACTGAAAGACTTAATGAGAGCTTCATATCCATGCCTGTCACTTCATGGAGGTAGAAGACGGTCTACAAGCCTTTTAAATAATTTAACTAGTGTAATGAAGTGTGAAACATTCCTTAATACTTACTGTTCCTTGATTTGTGTATATCTTCTGTAGGTATTGACCAGTATGACAGAGACAGCATAATCAATGACTTTAAGAGTGGAGTATGCAAACTTCTTGTGGCTACATCTGTAGCAGCCCGAGGTCTAGATGTAAAACATCTTACACTTGTAATCAATTACAGCTGCCCCAATCATTATGAGGATTATGTGCACAGGGCTGGCAGAACTGGGCGAGCAGGCAACAAAGTATGTTGAATGTATTTAATTGCTCTGGTCTGATATAAATGTTATATTGCTTGCTGCAGTATTTTTGTGGAACGATGGAGGTGGTTTCTTTCTTCATTATGTGATTTAAACTCATTGTTCTGAATTGCCAGAAAAAATTTTTAATGTCAATCATTGGTTTATATCAGGTTTCTCGTTTTGAAATTCTTATGGTTTCTGAACCACCATGCCTTGTAACTAGCTGCTTTGCAAAAAAGCTATCCCTCTGCTATGAATGGACCAGAGGGAGTCAGTCTTTGGCCCCACAGTTTTTGTTGTAATTTTAAAAGTTCTCTCCGATCTTTGGCAAGAGTAAACTGTTAAAATTTCTTCTCAAATTAAACTTCTTTTAAAAAGTGAAATTTGTTTCTCTCAAATTAGAGAGAGAAAAACCAGATTTTAAATCTGTAGATCCCAGGTTTTTTACATGTTGACTTTCATCTACCCATGAATACTTATGTTTCCTGTGTAATCTGTATTAAGCAGGGCCATGACTCCAAGAAGTGAATAGCTGCATTATTTCTTTCCAACAAATAGCAGAATTTGCTGTAAAATTAGGGTATAGAGTGTTATGTGTATGCCATATGTTTAAAACAGGTAACTAGATTCTGTATAGTTTAAAGTAGATAATTTCCTTTATTTTACTTGCTGATACAAGAATATAATTTTGAATAATTTAGGCTACAACTCTGTGTTCTCTTAAATTCTTCCAGGGTTCCATAAAGGGTTTTAGATTTCCCTTTCCAAGAAAGGGAGAAATTAGACTGTAGAGTTTGACCTTACAAATTCCCCTTCCCCAGTCACTGTGGGAATTCCTGCATCCCTTACAGTACTTCTCTACCAGAGCCCTGATGTCAGTAAAGGCAAAAATTGGGAGTTAAATGACCATTGGGAGGGGATTTTAAAAAGGTACATAGTATCCCTCCTCTCGTAGCAGATGGTAGAAGAATCGTAGAAAGGGATTAGGAACAGAAGGATCACTTTTTTATCTATAGTACAAGACTAGTGTAGTATAAGATCAGTATTTGAAATGTTCTGCCTGGAAAGGAATTGCAGATGTACTCTGCTCTTGAAACCCTTTTTTCTTAAAGTTGTTAAAAAAGCCTGTGTGCTAAAATAAATGAATTAAAAAATAACAGGACCTTTTCGGGGAACTCAGATTATTCATACTATGATTATTATATTTTTAAAGGGATATGCATACACTTTCATAACTGAAGATCAAGTACGGTATGCTGGAGATATAATTAAAGCTTTGGAGTTGTCAGGTACTGCAGTTCCTGCTGAGCTAGAGAAGCTGTGGAATGATTTCAAAGATCAACAAAAGGCTGTAAGTGAACCGTCTCTCTTTTTGTGTTGGGGTGTCTGTCATAGTGGCCAGCTCTGGGTGATGTTCTGGGGAGGGCTCTTGCAATGTCATGGAGTACATTCTTCTGGTATCACAGAGATGGAGCAGGCACTGTTTGGAGTAAAAGCATGCCTGGCACACATACGTGTTTATATTGAGTCACTGGGGCCTAGCATAAAGTGGCAGCAGGATGAGAAGAGTACCCTTGCTATTTAAAGACATGTCATACAGAGAAGTTGAACTTTCTCCTCCTCCTTGGTGCTGCCTGGCCTTAGATTTGTCTCTGCTGCCCCACAAGACCATGCAACCCTAAGGCAATTTTTCATTTCTTTTTTCCATATTTATATAAATGAGTTTTGGTGTGTAGCACCATTAATTTTTTTGTGAAATCGGTCTTCCCATCTTAAAATGGAAGCTTTCCCATCAAATTATCTTACACAACAAGTATTGAAACTATAACAAATAATGGCTTTAAAAGTCAGACTAAAATCATGCTTGTTTTCACTTTGTGTGCTGTGACCTGTTAACATACTTGGTCGTATTTTTATTGGTGGCAGCCATCAGCATGGTTACCTCTACGTAATTTTTTTTTAAAATTTATTTATTTATTTATTTACTTATTTACTTATTTATTTATTTATTTATTGCATTTGTCAAGAAGATTCAGTCATCATTGTTTTGAAAGTAATTGTCTAAGTTGGGAGTGATTTCTGAATGGAGACATCTTCCTTTTAGGAAGGGAAGATAATTAAGAAGAGCAGTGGATTCTCTGGTAAAGGATTTAAGTTTGATGAAACAGAGGAGGCTTTGGCTAATGAACGCAAGAAACTGCAGAAAGCTGCACTTGGTTTGCAGGATTCAGATGATGAAGATACAGCAGTTGATGTAAGTATTTGTAATTGCTTTTTAGTTAGGAATTCACATAATATATAGGGGGAAAAAGCTTTTATGGAATTGTAACTCTGTTTATAATATTTATATGGTTCCTTTTATCTGACCGATCTTGTAAACATTTCTTGTATAGATGCAGTTTCTTGTCAAATTTTTCAATTTGGATTTGGTTAAAAGTCTCTGGGCTCACATTACTGTTGCTCTCTATGCTAACATGAAGAAATAAATGCTGTTTACAGTGAAGGTCATTAATCCCCCCCACAACTTGTGGCTTTTTAAAAAAATCATCTTCAGCCTCAGCTGAGCTGACAATGGAGTGCCTGAAATGGAAGCCACTTGCTCTGATCAAATACCTGAATCTTTTTAGATGCTGTTGCTGCTGCTTTTTTAAAAAAATACATTTCCTTGCAATTGAAATTACATTTTCTTTCTTTTTTAATAGATTGATGAACAGATTGAAAGCATGTTCAATTCAAAGAAAAGAGTGAAAGACATGGCATCCTCTGGTGGGACATCTAATGTTCCTACTCCAACTGCAGGCAATGCAGAAAAATTAGAGATTGCTAAAAGATTGGCATTGAGAATTAATGCACAGAAGAATCTTGGAGCCGAGGCACAAGTATTGGTCTCTTTTCAATTTAAGGTCATCCTCTTCTACAAAGCATACATTTCTAAATTTATATTGAATGTTATATTTTTGTTGTTAATACAGTAGAACTTTCACTATTTGGACATCCAAGGAAACATAAATATTATTAGATATTAATAAGTATTATTAATGGAGAAGGAAAAGATGCAGGCATATTTATACAGTTCTTAAATAGAATCACTCAGGTTTGATTTATATTCAGATATATGAATTTTTATGGTCCATGTTGTGTACTCTTGAGACTGGAGTATGCATTCCTGTTCTTCTTAGTGATTGTGTGTATACACATGTTTCTACCTCTAAGATTGATTGTTCTAAACAACTTCTATAATTTTATTTAACTGATTTGTGTTTATGTAAACACAGTCTGAGTATTTGATGGACCAGTGGAAAAATGGGGATATATAAGATACAGTTTGCATCCATATATGCGAGGCCCAGATAAGTGAAAATTTGCTGTATTTCTGTTGTTAATGTTTGCTCTTGATGTAGCTGTTAATGCAGAAATTGAAAAAATTAGTGTCAATAATTGAACCTAGTATGAGCGGAAGAAATATATACATTTGGCACCTTTCACACAAAGTCAAATGAATATTCTTAGATTTGCAAATATGCCTCTTGTTTGAGAGGGCAAAATGGTATTTCTGCAGGAACATGTGTTGTTGTTTTGGTATGGGTAGTTGCTGCCTGGCATGCTCAAGCACAACCATTGTGTATGTAAGGATTAAGATCTAGAGCTATTTTCCCCAAGCACATGTTTACATATATATTATATTAATTCCTATGAAAAAGTTCAATTTCATTTTTGCTAACCTTCTGATCTTAGATGGAAAGAGGGCAGACAGTAGAGTGCATTTCTTTTGATAAATACTTTGATCCAGGGTTTTTTGCATCAAATATTTTTTTGTGTTTTGTGATCAAGCACAAATTATGCAAACAAGGTTACAAACCACCTGGATCAGAAACACTATGCTTGCCAGTCGGAAGATTGTTTTTTGCCTGTTCTGTCCTGGTAAAAACCAGTTCAGTCATTGAATCATTAAAAACAAATGAAACCAAACATGACCATAAACATGAAGATAATTTAGATCTGCAGTTAAAAGCTTCACAAGGAATTAAACAACATCATAAATCAATTTTAAAAGATCCTTCCTAAAAGCAAGGAGAGTGGAAACTGATCCCAATCTTGAGAGAAGTACTTTCTGCAGTCTGGGAGCCATGGTGGATTGGAGAAAGCATGTATGTGTAAACGTGTGCCAGTGGAAGACATCTTGCTAATGATTCATTTATAATGCTTTCAACGTTTATCTGGAATGCATAATCAAGTAGCAAGCTTAGTAAAGATGTTAAGAGTAAACTAGATGTGATGTGGCAGACTTGTGCATTTAGTCTGTCACCATTACCTCTAATGTGGGAGAAATGTGAAAAGAAGTTTATGGATGAGAGAAATTAAACCTGCTCCTACCTTTATCTGTTGTGTTTCACTCCTTCAGAGCAACCCCTCCCCTTACTTATCCAGCTCCAATACCAGAAGTGAGCAGGCAAGTATTTGAAGTAGTGGAGTACAGAGAGAGAAAGGAAGAGGGGGTTTAATTCACCGCACTGCATGCACCTTTTCATTTTTAATAAATATATGATTTTATATTTAGGCACACCTATGTCAGTTGCAGTTAATTGGACTGCTGAAATGGTCTAGTTCTAGTTCAGGATCTGTCAATGAAGGAAGCGTAATTGCTGTTTTCAGTTGCTAAAATTTTAAGGCAGTTTTGATAACAGCAGTGTAGTTCACGTTGTGTAATTCCTATCTACGACATTAAGCTCTTCCCCTGGTTGACTAATGTACAGTTCATTTCAGATTATGGGTGGTGCATCTCTGATGACACCCTATGTAATTTCAGGCTTTCAAATTAACACCAGAAATTTATAGTTCTATTAATAATCCTAACAAAAGTTTAATGCATGGTGTGCAGTTCCTTTGTTAACTTTTCTACAAGTGTGAAAAACTTATTACTGCTATAAACAGTAGTCATTATATCCATAATCGTTAGATAACAATTTTGTTGCAGCTCAGTTTTTGTTGTTATTGCCCATTGAAGGATTTGTTGTTGTTTAGTCGTTAAGTCATGTCCGACTCTTCGTGACCCCATGGACCAGAGCACGCCAGGCCCTCCTCTCTTCCACTGACTCCCAGAGCTGGTTCAAATTCCTGCTGGTAGCTTTGATGACACTGCCCAACCATCTCGCCCTCTGTCGTCCCCTTCTCCTCTTGCCTTCACATTTTTCCAACATCAAGGTCTTTTCCAGGGAGTCTTCTATTCTCATGAGATGGCCAAAGTATTGGAGCCTCAGCTCCAATTGAAGGATAGGTTATATTAAACTGAATTGAAAGTTAGTGATTGGGGGTTCCTTTCATTGATTATATAAACAGTAGGTAAGGTAAAGGTTCCCCTTGACATTTAGTCTGACTCTAGGGCGCAGTACTCATCCCCATTTCCAAGCTGTAGAACCAGCATTTTGTCCGTAGCCAGTTTCTATGGTCACGTGACCAGCATGACTAGACACAGAGCACCGTTACCTTCCCACCATGGTGGTACCTAATCATCTACTTGCATTTGCATGCTTTTGAACTGCTACATTGGCAGGATATAAACAGAGTTTTGCACAAAGACTTGGATATGAATTTCCCATGAACAAATCTCTGCAAGGATTCTTCCCCCTGACATAAGGGAGTGAGGAAACAGAGGCAGTTTTCCCCGGTTCTCATTTCTTACTGTAATTTGGAGAAATGTTGTCCAGATGGTTGGGCAATATTTTGAAACAGCAAATTATATTGATCTGTGGCCTGCAAGGGAAATGAATCTTCCCCTTCCCTTTGCTGTTAGCATTCACAGGAGGGCAGACTTAGAATTTGGCTGACAGAAGCACAATTGTGAAATACTGACAAAACAAAAAAGGGGAAATGTTCTCAAATTCTTTATACAAATTGAGGGGAATAATTTTTGCTTAAATAAGCCTCGTGGTGCAGTGGTTAAACTTCAGTACTGTAGCCAAAATTCTGTTCACAACCCAGGTTCAATCCCAAGTAGCTGGCTTGGGATTCGCTCATCCTTTCATCCTTCCGAGGTTAGTAAACTGAGTACCCAGCTTGCTGGGGCGGGTGGGCACAATGTTGAATTGTGAACCGCCCACAAAGACCTTTAAGCACTTTGGGGTGATATGTAATCAGCACACTTTGCTTTATCTAGGAGATCTACTGTTTAAATATAGATTTCTCAGTAAACAAGCTTTTTGTTTCTCTAAAAAAAAGCTTTGTGCTTTTCATTTTTCTACATATGTGAATCCCAGTGTCTGACAGCCTTGGCATCTCCTGCCAATGACTCCAAGTTGTGGAATGAGTGCTTTTTATTGAGGCCGGTGCTGTTAACAGCGGCTGTCTCTCACCACCCTCCCATATCCCACGGGACTGAGTTTCCTGAACTAGTCCTCTGGAGACAGTCAGTATAGTACTGGCTTTGGTTCCCATCACTGAGGCCATTGAAGTCCTGATAATAAACAAGCCTAGTCTGGGACTGGGCTTGAAGCCCTTCAGCGAGGGCTGATAGAAGCAGTTGGTGAGTGTTGGCTGGCCTCCTGCTCCTTGAGCACCCCCCTCTTCCTATTATGATGGTATTTGTGCCACCAGTGCCTTAGCTGGGGCGGGTGGGCGTTGCAGGACCTATTGGATAGACATGGAGCTGGTTTCCAGCCTTCTTTGGGGCTGAAATAGTGGAAGCCCCTCTTCCCCAGCCATGGTCCCAAGCCACCTAGATGCTGTTTGCTGGCTCTTGCTAGGGATTGTTGTCTAACTCCCAGGCTAGCCCTCTGGTCACACATATCTTTGGCTAAACACTTGCTGGGTGTCCCAGGCCCGAAAGAAGACCCAGAGCCTTTGCTTTGCTCTCCTGTAACCCTCTCAATGGGCCCTCCACCTGATCTGTTGGCTGTTCCTCAAGTCCTGGCTCCATGATGATACTGTACTTGGGCTTCCCTCCTCCCAGCCTTCACAAAAGCCCAAAGCAGCTGTTCTACCCAGGCTCTTGGGTGTATGTTGTGTGAGGCTGAGGGCACAGGTACTAGTGGCAACATATTGTTTAGGATTTGTGTGTATATACAGTTTATAAAACAGCATGCTTCTTTTTCTCAAATTTCTTATCATATGGCTTTATACTGTGATTCTGAAATTAGATTTTGTTTTTATTTTAAATACCCTATTACAGGATGTGATGCAGCAAGCTACAAATGCTATCCTCAGAGGTGGCACTATTCAGGCTCCAACTGTATCTGCCAAGACGATTGCGGAGCAGTTGGCAGAGAAGATCAATGCCAAGCTCAATTATGTGCCCATAGAGAAACAAGAGGAAGAGAAACAGGAGGGGGGACAAAATGAATCTTTTAAGAGATACGAGGAAGAACTGGAGATCAATGACTTTCCACAGGTAAGATTTTTTTTTTAAAAAAAATCATATACCCTGTTACCCCGAAAATAAGACCTAACCAAGATTTTTTTTTAAAAAAAAAAATCATATACCCTGTTTCCCCGAAAATAAGACCTAACCTGAAAATAAGCCCTAGTAGGATTTTTCAGGATGCTCGTAATATTAGCCCTACCCCAAAAATAAGCCCTAGTTAAGTGAAACCCTGCCCTCCACCATTGTGCAGCAACTAGAAGATGACATGACTGAATTTGAATAAATGTAGATTGTTGTACATGAAAAAAAAAACATCCCCTGAAAATAAGCCCTAATGCATTTTTGGAGCAAAAATTAATGTAAGACCCTGTCTTATTTTTGATGAAACAAGGTAGTAATGACAGTTGTACATAACATAGCATTCTGGTTAGCAATCTGAATATTTCTCCCCTATTCCCCACTCCTGATAGGATATCTCTGTAACACAGATTTTGAATTTAATTCAGATTTTAATTCAGATTTTACATTTCTGTTTTTGCTGCAGTGTTGTGACTGCTTCCATGTGTAACAGTGGACTTTTTTTTTTTTTTTTTTTTTTTGAAAATAATGCACAGTCATATTTGTAGTTCACCAGTGAGTGAAATGGGGGCAGGGAGAATGAAACCTTATTACAGCATTGTGAGAATAGGTTATCTTATGTTTGTGTTTTTCAGTTTTAAAAACTTAAAATTCTTGTTTTTAAAACTGAAAAACACAAACAGACAGAAGGCTGTTCACACCCAGTAATAATTCTTTGCCATTTTACTAAAGGAAATTCACAAACACCACCAAAGACAAATGCACCATTTATATTGAAACTTTATACATCAATCAAATAAACATTTTTTTCACAATGTAAAAAAAGGAGATAAATGCCTTTTTATAACAATAAGAATTGTTATATAGATCAGTGTTCCTCATCCTTTTTAACACCAGGGACCGGTTTAGTTGAAGACCATTCTCCTAAGGACTGGGGGCAGGGGTACTCGTTATGCAGTAGAAAGATAGCTTTGAATCGAGCTCACAATGGAAATGGTGAGCAGGAGGCGAGCTGCAATTGAAGCTCCGCCTCCTGTTAGATCAGTGCCTTAGAACCTAATGGGAGCATAGGCTCCTCTTAGATTCTAATGCCACAAGCACAGCGGATCTAGCAGCAGCAGGAGGGGAGCGAGGAGCAAAGCTCCGCCTCCTGTCAAATCATCATCAGCATTAGAACCTAATAGAAGCACGCTGACAGGAGGCAAGCCGCTCATCCTGCAAGCCGCTCATCTGTCCTGGCGGCCCAGTCCTTCCAAGGCTATGGACCAGGACCGCCCCATGGCCTGGGGGTTGGGGACCCCTGTTATAGATACATATTTAATTGCTTATAACTTAGCTTGTTATTTCTAGAGAGAGAAAGATCAGAGTTGTTAAATGCAGTTCATTATACTTTAAAAATGTCCGGGAAAATTACGAAACTTTCCAAAGACAAAAAATAAATCATTTACATTTTCCCCAATTATTGGTCTTTGGTAATTCTGCTTGGCAACTATCTTACAAAATCACCTACCATCTTATTTAGCATTTCGCTTACCTTTTAAACGTTAACACTCAGCATGTTTTCTTTTTGTTTGCCTCTTTAATCTGCAGACTGCAAGGTGGAAAGTAACGTCAAAGGAGGCATTGCATAGAATAAGTGAATATTCTGAAGCTGCAATTACAATCAGAGGAACTTACTTTCCTCCAGGCAAAGAGCCCAAAGAGGGAGAGCGGAAAATTTACCTGGCTATTGAGAGTGAGTATTACTGATAATTTCCACTAAATCGATATCTTTAGTATCATCATCAAACTTGTAGAAAAACATGTCAAAATCAGTCTGGAATAATGTAAAAATAAATATCACTTACTAGCTGAAATCTTGTTGCTTGGCATAGTAAGTAGCACTAGAACAGGCCTATTGAATCAGTAGGGATTTGTTGAACTACTCTGAAAGTGCCATTGATTCAAATGGGCCTACTGTAGCTTGGAACTTAATTTAGCATAGTAAGGTACAGCTAGAGTAGTGATGGCGAACCTATGGCACGTGTGCTACAGCTGGCATGCAGAGCCCTTTCTGCGGGTACACAAGCCATAAGTCACCGGATCACTACTCCTCCCCGCCACATAGCCAAACCCAAGAAGGTGGCTACATTCGCAGTGCTGGTGCTTCAACAGGTGGATCCAGAGCAGCTGGTGCTGGTGGCGGATCCGGAGTGGGTCTCGAGGCACCTTCATGCCTGGGATTCCCCCTTCAACCACCACTTCTGGTTCCGCCGCCACCGCGGCACACCGCCTGCTGGTTTTTCTCTTCCTCCCCCCCCCCCCCGGGGTTGGGGCACGCGACCCAAAAAGGGTCCCCCGCCACTGAACTAAAATAAGCCTATTTTGAATCAGTGGAACTTGCATTGAATCCCTGCTGATTCAATGGGCCTACTCTAGTGCAACTTAATTTATTATGCCTAGTAAGATTTCAGCCACTGAACAGTACTAGACTAATGAAGTTGAGATATGTCTCTGAACTACTTTCATATGTAAGAGAGAATTTTATTCTTCCTGTTTTATATAGAAGAGTTGAAACAACAAAAATTGCAGTGGAATAGAGCAGTGGTGCCCAACCTTTTCCCAACCACAGACTGGTTGGGAGGGCGTGGCATGCTTGTGGGGACGTGGTGCGCCTAAAGGGGGGGTGGAACACGCTCTTGTGCATGCGGGGCCCCGCTCGCGTGCATGTGCACAGCACGCTCACATGAGTGGAGCACGCATGTGCAGGGGGGAAGGAAATCTGTGGGAAACAAGGTTGGGAACTACTGTTCAAGGTACAGTGGTGCCTTGACTTACAAAATTAATCCGTATTGGAATGGTGGCCGTAAGTCGAAATCTTCGTAAGTCGAAGCACCATTTCCCATAGGAGTGCATTGAAAACCGATTAATCCATTCTGGCCGAAGGAAAAAAATACCAAAAATAAAATAAAATACTGTACTGTAAAAACAGAACAGTTTCAAAAAGCAAAAACCAGCACCTTACCCTGCTGTCTCTGTTGCTGCCAGGAGGCGGGCCGCCAAACCATGCCAGTTGGGCTCTGCCTCCTGTCCCCGCTGCCCCTGCAGGAGGCAAAGGCAGCGGGGATGGAAGGCAGAGGACAGTGGGGGTGGCTTTGGAAGCCTGGGAAGCTAGCATTTCCA